TGAAACTGGACCAACGAAGGTAATGAATGTTTTACTTGGATTAAAAGGTTCTATGTATATTGAAAACTGCACATTAAAGTAATTCACTAAAGCTTCCAGTGCAGAAAAAAAGGCAGTAAAAAGAAAATAACACAATTATAAAGAAGAGACAATTGTCTTTTATGCCGAGCGTCACGTGACCAAACCGGAAACCGGGTCTCATTGCATCCGCTTGTCAGAGAAAGTGTTATCGGCCGTAAGAACTAACTACGATATCTATGGATTTTTAAGGTAATCAGCTAACCTACTAAGTTCACTTTGTTATTGGTGTTTTATGCTATTTAAATAACTAAACGTTAGTGTGAAGAAGAAAAATTAAAAAAACTTTTAAATATCAATCTGCACATGCGAGGGACATTGGTTATGCTCATTTTTGCTTGCTCCTTTTAAGTTATCTTCAGTAAAACCGCAAAAAATTTCATGAAGACCTGAATCGGAAGCGATGTGATCTGTTTTCCGGCTTGGTCACGTGACGCTCGGCATAAAGCCTATAAAAGTAAATAAATACTATACAAAACAGTAATACAAAATATAGAAAATACACAAGACAGAATAATTTATGTATACATTCAATTTGCAGATGTACAGTTATATGCAAACTTAAGTGTATGAATGTACAGAGGTACATAAGAAAGTATATAAAATTATAATTATTGTAGGGCTGATCGATTATGGCAAAAATATATAAAAATATATAATCGTGATAAGTTTTGGTCAGCACTGAAATCACGATTATTTCACATGATTGTTGGTGAGTGATATGATCAAAGTCTTATTTTACAATATGAGTCAATTTAAATATCAGCGAAGTTTCACAATTATCCATACTTCAGCAAAAACTACTAGGTTAACTAATGCAAGAAAAAGGCCCTCACCCTACATAAGACAAGAAAACAGTCAGCAATAAGAACAAAGCAATTACAAACAAAACAAACTACTAAATACAACAGAATGAAAATACAGATTAAATAAACAGTGTTTTAAGTTTTTTAGGAAGATGTACTAACAGTGGTATTCAGATAAGTAATAGCCTACAACAAAAATAGAATAATCAAATGTAAAATAACACTGCATAGTCTTACTGTACACATTAAATTTAGATTAATCCTTATTAAAGGTACTTAAGTTATTCAGTCAAGATGAGTGAGTTATTTTCCTTTGTTATTTGATTATCCTCAATGACAGACTGCAGCAGATTTATTAGGCTGCTGTCACTTTAAGAGCAAATGCACGGATCGAATATACTGTTACACTGTATGCGTTTACTTAAGACATCATTTTATTAAGACTTTTTATTGCCAAACACGTCCCGCAGTTTAGCAATAGTAGACTGTATTTTACAACACTCGCTTATTTGGCTGATTTGGATGTTAAGTTTGGCTTAGGGAGGAACGAAAGTGCACCGCTGTGAAGGAATGCGGCAGCGGCACAATAATCTTTTTGCCTTGATTATCTTGTTTTCATAATCTTTGGAAACCAAACCGAATTCGAAAATCAATTACGATTAATCGCACAATGTGCAGACCCTGTTGGAAGTATCCTATTACTTGTTCAGGTGAGAGTGTGCATGGCTGTTCTGGTGCTCTCTAGTGCCGGCCAGAGGGAAACAGTTAAACAATTTATTATACCGCTAAGTGTTTATTATACAAAAATATTGCAAAAAATACAGCACTTGACCAGTCACAGTCAAGTATTCCAGAGAGCAGTGTAATAAGTCGTGCTCATTAAGTTGCATGAAACTAACCCTCTAAGATATCACCAGACAGCATGCATACTGTCATTTGCTGTGTTTGATGTGAACTGTGCGTTACTCATATTTCGGTGCTTGTACCACAGGCTGGATCAAGAGCTGGACTTCATCCTGTCCCAGCAGAAAGAGCTGGAGGATCTTCTCAGTCCGTTAGAGGAGTCTGTGAAAGAGCAAAGTGGAACCATTTACATGCAGAATGCAGATGAAGAGCGAGAAAGAACGTAAGAACAAACGCAGTCGGCTCATGTTTCCTCTGCATGTACTGTGACGTCACTGACTATTTGAATGGATCTTTTATCCAGGTACAAGTTGGCAGAAAATGTGGATGCCCAACTCAAGAGAATGTCCCAAGATCTGAAAGAGATTATTGAACACCTCAACACATCCAGCGGACCTGGAGACACCACTGACCCGGTATGCAAAACATGATCCATATTTGATACAGAAATGCTTTTTATGAATCGTCATGCGATCTGGGCAAATAATGACTGGTGTGTTGTTGTTTTCAGCTTCAGCAGATCTGCAAAATCCTGAATGCACATATGGACTCCCTACAGTGGGTAGAACAAAACTCTGGTTAGTATCTTTTTTGGATTTAGAGCCTTTTTATGGAGTCTTTTAGGGTGTGTTCACACTTGGCATGTTTGGTTGGATTAAAACGAACCCTGGTGTGATTGCTCTGTTAGTGCGGTTCATTTGAATGAGTGTGAACGCTGTCATCTGAACCCTGGTGCCACCAAACAAGCGGACTGAGATGCTGAAAATATGGATTCTTGCTCCACTTCCTAACAAACTCTGGTGCGTTTCGAATAAAATATGAACACAAGAGGGACCAAAGACATGTAAACGAACTAGGGCTGTCAGTTAAACGCGCTATTAACGGCGTCAATTTTTTTTTCCGCGTGATTAGCGCGTTTGGCCTAGCAAACTTTGTAGTTTTTTTCACAAGCTTTTGCAACAGGACGCGCCGCGCGAGGACGTTTTGTTGCTTTGTCGACCAAAGCGCAAGCGGATCTAGCTAGACCGGAAACAAAACAAGTCACGACGCCGCACACACTCGTTTGGGCTTGCGAGCCGGCCAAATAGTTGGTTAACGTTACGTTTTGAGTGGACGCCAATAAGATTCTGAATGGAAAGTTTACTTTTAAAAAGTTGCCAAATGGATCCATTGACGAGACCAAAGTGATCTGTGTGTTTTGTCGTTGTGAACTGAGCTATCATCATCGCAGCACGTCCAGTCTGAAACACCACTGATGATGGCCAAGCACACACACACACACACAGCTGATGCGAATTCTCCGCCCCCTCGTCAATATCAGGACCTCGTCAGTATTTCTTTCACCCTTTTATTGATGGACAGTGTTACATTGTGTGAGAGATTATTTGCTCCAAGTGAGAATGTTAGTGTGAAATTGAACATTGTATATGCCAATGTTGTTTTCAATAAAAAACATTTGCACAAAGCAAGCCGATCCACTTTTCCATATTGATAAGAGCATTAAAATGAGAAAAAATAATGGGACAAGAAGGAAATCAAGAGACATTTAGAATAAAAATGTGTGATTAATTGCGAGTTAACTATGACATTAATGGGATTAAATATTTTAATCGTTTGACAGCACTAAAACGAACCAAAAACAGGAAGATGTGGCCTTAAATAGCACAGAATGCTCAAGCAAACCTGTTTTTTCTCGTCATAGTGGCGATGTTGCCATCACAGTTCGGCACAGGCATCAGAACCGCGTCTCCTCACAGCAGATCTTCATTTGTGTGTGACGGAGGGATTTCTCTCTTCACGAGTTCTCAGCTGGTCAAAATACCATCATGTGTAGGCTACGCTCATACAACGAGCACATTTATCCCAGAACACAGCATTGTTTTGGATGTTTGGTCATTTCCATCGCAAAATATACGTAATAAAAGCCGACCAATCAGGTTGTGAAAGTATCTCAATGCCTTAGGTTTGGTGTTAAAATGCCAATGTGAACACTAAGCAAACCAGGACAAAAATAAATACATTTCTGGACCAAATGAACCAAGCAAACCGAACTACAAGTGTGAACACACCCATAGACGCAATACAAATAATATATTTGTAATAACATTAAATATGTCCATTATAAAATGTTACTTTGCATCATGTTTAACGTGTACTTTTTCTGTGCAGTGTTACTCCAGAGGCGTGTGGAGGAGGTCTCGAAGGTGTGTGAAAACCGCAGCAAGGAACAGGAGAAGAGCTTTCGTTTAAACTTCCAGTGAACATGCATAAAATACGATTTTCAATCAGATGTAAATGAATGTCATTGTTTTTGTTATTTGCTTCAAAATAAAATCATTTCTTTTACCTGATTCCCTCTTAACAAGTTTCTTTGTGTTCATATTGATGCAATTTTGCCAAATGATAAATTTTTCACACACATTAGTGATGAAGTCATTGCAATGGTCTGCAGTGTATTATTTTATTTTTTTAAATGTAAAATGAAGAATATATCTGTAAAGCAGGGAGTTTCTCTTCCTGGTTTACACTTATGAGATAAAACTAGCCAATCAGCTGCATGGAGCTCCACCATAGCAAGCAACATGGATCCTGGCATTGTTTAAAATCAAGCAATCCAAGTCTGCGTCTAGGGGGATTTTTTTTTTTTTCAAAATATAAAAAGCATTATATTTTAAATGAGGTCGCAGGTTTATAAAGGGGACGAAATGACTACCGACATCTGCAGGTATGTCTGCCCATGCACACACACACACTCACGGACGCATGTGCTGGGGAACACAGACAGACTCCTCTCCTCCACATGCATGCATGCAGTCTGTATGTTGCATGAACCACGAGTCTGTGAAGTGCAAAGTCTGCATTGCGATGCTTGCATAACAAACTGCAACTGCACGGATGCTAAGCATATTGGGGTTGTAACATCATGTGAAACAAAATGCATGCCATGATTTCCGCACTTTAATTAATTATTATAGCACGCGCCGGTAACAGCAAGCATGTGTCTGTCCAGAATGCATCATAGAACTCATGCCCTAGTTTCCCCTTCCATGCTGCACTTTCTTTGCATTACATGCATTTTATATATGATCTTTCTGTGCATTTTAAAAATGCATTCAGTGAGCACGCAAAGAGGACGCGGACTGTCGTGTCAAAAGTGAACTGCATGTGACCACTCGCGTCCAGTGTGTTCCCAGAGCGCGCGCGCAGATCTCGCGTGCGCCATTTTAGCGCGTCTCGAGCCATCCGGCAAGATGGCGCTCTCGCTTTGTCTGCCCTGATCGGCGTAAAACACAATTTACTTTTACCACACACGTGAAAATTGACCGGATCGAATGAAAAAACAGCTTTCCTCGCGGGGCCAAAACAGTGACATCTCGAAGATCTGCGCGTGTGAGGAGCATTGAGATCTTCAGGTAGGTGTAGGGATGTAGCCGGGTAATACGCGCGTGCATTTGTGCACTTTACATCTATGCATAAGTGTTGTGAATAGTTAGGGGGCGTCATAGGGATATTTTATGATGAATGAAATCCTAATGTAGTGCCTTGCTTTTTGTTTTACAAGTAGTTTTCATTATTCACCCTATTGTGTAGATATAGCTGCATTGGTCATGTGCAAAAACTAGGCCGTTCTCCACCAAATTCTCAGTACTTCATTAAAATGGCTGTTTTGGCGTAGATTTAGGGGATGTGTGTATTATTTTTGTGTCTCTCTCTTGTGTTTTCTTGTAACATCAGCTCGTGTATTGAAAATGAATCAGTGGATAACAGTCAGTGGCAAACAAGTAAGTTAGCCAACACATCATGGACAGTCATCTGTAGCGAGACGATTTGTTTTTTTCCACTCTTTCGTCTTATTCATGTATTTGGTTTGGTGGCATGTTTCTTACTCTTAATGTGAGCACGAGCTGATCGGTTTGTTTATGTTCGCTGTTATCAGTGCGTGTCTTCCGTCCTGTTACCGGCTGTTGTGTTTCGCGCTAATAGGAGACGGGCTCAGTGATGACGCCACCTGCCAATCAACAGAAACCGCTAAAAACTCTCCTCACATTAATAACGGCTTTCATTTTCGGTCATTTGTAGTGTTAAGTTTTCATTTCAGCTATTCATGTTTATTTAGACCTAAATTGCCGTTTTTACGTCCTGTAAAGTCACTTTTGTTTGCTATTTACCGAGTTTTTTTAGCATGTTTTTTTTTTCCAAGGGACACATTTCATAAATCAATGGACCATGTAAATTCTGCTTCCTGTTCTATCATTTTGTTATTGTTTTTTTGCTAGTTATCTTTATTAAACGCACTATGGTTTCTTCCACAATATATCAGGGACTAACTTACCGTATTATCATCCACTGTGATGTCCTTTTTTGTGTTTTAAAATGTAACTTTTCCTACACTGAAATTCCTTATTCAATTCAGTCTGTGGTATTATTATTGTTTGGAAATGTGGCCTATTGTCTTCGTATGTCTTTGTTTCTTGATACACACTGTATCTTGTGTTTCTTTCAGGTCCAGTAAGCTGAATACATTGGTGACTAAACTTCATGAGTTCTTGGGTAATTCTCCGGACGACGAAAGCATTGATTCTCAAGACATTTCCAATGGTGAGGATAAGTGATGGGAAGTCTTCTCCAAAAGAGCCGATTCACAGACTCTGAATAGTAGAGATCGACTAATAATTTTTTTTTAATAACCAAAATCGATTATTTGCATGTTTATGTGCCTTGACTACCGATATAGCCCACAGAACTATATCCGGTTAATTTACCACAAATAATTTCTGTAGTTTCACTCCCCCCTTGCATACAAAACACACACTTATAATAGAGGAGTCTGAAAGAGTGCCTAAAAAATAAAGAGCACTGTAACTAAAGTGTCTTTTAAAGTAAAAGCTACACTTTGATCAGGTAAAAATAATTCTAACATTTGTAAAAAAAAAAAATGCATAAATCTTTCGAAACAGCATGAAAAAATAAAACTTTGCCACTTTAGTGTAGCTTAGTAATCCCGTTGCATATTTTTATTTTATTACAACAGCAGTAAAATTAACAGTAGGCTAAATAAATGTACAAAGTCTTATGTTTTCAAACGGAGAACATAAAAGACAGGTGAGTCTTATAAACTTTGCATAAATAAACTTTCGCATTTGGTTTTACAGTTTTAAAAGGTTTATGTGTTGTTTGATAGGCTAACGGTGAACAGAATGGAATAAGCATAGGCCTACATTACGCATACATTCGCTGGAATATGCAAACATTGTCAGAAAAATAAACAAAATAATGAATACATCATTACAGAGTCCATCTAATCTGGCATGTTATCAGAATTGTTAATAGTTTTTTTCGGTCTAGATTATAAAATTCCTGCTGACAGAAGGCTGTTTTTATCTGTGCGTTTACACAGAACTCCTCTTGCATAGATCATAATTTTCTACAGAGCTGTTATTATTTAGATGTTTATTAGTGAAATAAAGGTTACAGTAGATGCTAATATAATTTAAGGAGTTTTAAACGAGTGGATCTTGTTAAAAGCTGTGTACGGTGGCTGTGCTGGACCATTTTCTGATCATCAGCCCTGTGAATGAACGGCACCATGAACGCGACTTCACAAGACTGATGATGAGTGCTTTTATTTCCAACATGCACTCATTCATGGCTGTTTTATTTCATTCATTTAAGCAAAGTAAGTTACTTTACCAGTGAACACCGTCGTTGACTCGTGTCTCCCCTCAGACGCAGTGGTTTAATGGCGGTCTTGCGGGCAATTCGTACAAGATGCCGCCATTTATCGGCTAATCCGATATTACAAAACCGATACCCGATTATGGAGAAATTATTAAAATATCGGGCCGATTATCGGTCGATTTTATTGAATAGCCCTGGAGTTGGGGTCGACTCAGCACAGGAATCAACTAGCGCTGCCCTCGACTAAAGATTTTTCTAGTCGACTAGTTGTCGTTAATTTAAGCGATTACTCGACTAATCACACGTTTATATTAATAAGCCATAAATCATAATAATGAGCCTTTAATTGCCTATATATAATACATAGCCTAATCAGCGCTCAAACGCACACATTACGCTTGCCACAGCTCATCTGCAAACCTAATGATTATAAATGTGTCGTGAAAAAAAACCAGGAGACGACTTTCTAAACATTTTAATGATCTATTGTTAATGTTTTCTGTTTTTTTCCGGCTGTAAAGATTAAGTCAACGATGCTGAACTCGTCATCTCGGCTGTAGTGGACGCGCCTATATGCACGTTTCATGCGTATTACATAATCTGATAATATTAATTTTCCATTTGAATTTGTTCATTCAAAAGTAGACATTTCAAGCTCTCTTTAGATATATTCTCATGTCTGTGAGGCAAGGATACACTGAGTTTCGGTTCGTTTTATTACGGGATTGAGACGGAGAGTGTCCTGTTTGTTTTTATTTAACAAAAGCACAACGTTTTGTTGTAATTGTGAGTTTAACAAACATAAAAGTAGACCCTTTATGTCATGCAGTATAAGCGCGCTCTCCACACAAACACTTGAATATGTGGCTAATAATAGCGCAAATGTATCTATAGCCGCGTTTCCACCGCAATTACCAGGAACTATTTGTCCCAGGAACTTTTTTCATTGGAACTTTTTTTGCCCCAGACCGGTTGCTGACTGCGTTTACACCGTGGACTAAAGTACCGGGAATATTATGTTGACGTTGAACTGCGTGCGACTGCTCCTCCCAGTCTGTGCGTTTGTTTTGAGTTTTAAGTATTGAGGAGATTCAAGCTGTGCTGCTTTTGTGTGCGATCTATTGGTTTAATAACGAGGTAATTAACAAAACAGTAGAAAAAAGACGAACGCTAATACCAAAGCGTATTCAGAAAGCTCGTAATGCTAGATATAAAAGTAGACAACGTTTGTTATCAGCTATAGCGGACATGACCGTGAGATGGATGGGACGAACGCCCGCCATCCGGCAGAGAGAACAAGGTAAGAACCAATCAGCATGTTCAGTGCACAAGTCCCACCCCGAAAGTTCCTGAACTCTGAAAAAGTACTACCTCGCCAGCAGGGACTTTCTGGGGGGGGGAATTTTTACCCGGAACTTCATTTAGACCCTGGTTCCTGCGGTGTAAACACACGGAATACCACCCCAAAGTTCCTAGTTCCTGGGGAAAGTTCCTGCGGTGGAAACGCGGCTTATGTAGCCTAGTTTTACCACTGCAAGCACCACTCACATTGTCTTCAGAAAATGTACATTTTATTACATATTATCCAAAACATAAGAGTGAACAGACTTGAAATGTTGCTGCTACTTGCATGTTTCAAGTGATAAGCCATATTTGAGGTCGATGAATGATAGGCGAATGTTTGGATTTCCTGGCGTTAGCGATCCGTCCGTCACGGACTGCGTGATTTCGCCACTTCCCGTGAAGTTTTTTATTTCCTACGACGACCAAACTAATAAAATTTTGGCCGACAAAACCTCATCTAGTCGACTAACGGTTCGTCGACTATCAGGGGTCAGCCCTAGAATCAACTCTTGCTACGTCTGAAAAGGCTCGCTGATTCTCTTATCCCTGTGTAGTGCGTGGCAGTTGAGTGCACTATATCAGCAACGAGTGAAGGAAATAAAGCGAGGAATTCAGACACTGACGTATTACACAGTGCGAGAGGAGCTGTTGCAGAAACAACGGTCACATAGGCTACTTTTATCCTGCATGGAGATTATTTTAGAAATACCAGTCAGAGTAACTTTAGTTTGTTTTGTTAATGTTCATAATCGTTTATAACCATAAATCATTTTTTAAAAATCACATCAAGCATAAATACATGTAATTTTTTTTTGTGTTAATTATTTTTAGTAACTTTAACTCTCCTCTCCTTTTAGCCTAGACATGATCATGGCTGTTTAGCACCATAACTTAGCGTTATAAAAAGATTAATTTGTTAAAATACATTACCTTCTTTCTCATTTATTTAATTCTGACATAATATTCGACCACGGCTGTTTCTTGTGACTTTTACCGCTGTACAATTAGGTATCGGAACAGCTGGGTAACGTCGTTGATAGGCTTATCATTTCAAGGCTAAAATGTCATTAATGAATTCGTCTAATTTGGACAGTCACGCTAAAACTGTGTTGTCTTAATAAGGGGAATTTAAGGCTTTGTGTTTTGGAAAAAAAAAAGTTTAGTAGTTGTAAAACTACAATCTTGTATTATTCCTGAGCCTGTTTTGGTGTAAAGTAAATGGTGTGGTTGGAGAGCTGACAGAATATTTCCCAATAATTGTTTGCATTTAATTAGCGATTGATATATTGTAACTTTTGTGAACTTTTTCTCATATTGCAGGTAAAATGGCATCCAGTGACTTAAACATCCCTGATGAGAAAATGAACGAGGTGTGTTTCTACAGAGCCTGTTTTTTTCTGTGTTTCTCTGCAGTTTACTGTAACACTCTGTCCTATTGTGACACGTTTCATTTCATGTGTTAAAGAATGGCGATAATGCTTGGCATTAAGAAACAGGCTTTCGTGAAAAAACAGCTTTTCCCATCATTCTCTGCATAGATAAAGCATCCATTATACAGCTAATGCACATCAGTTTGTTGGCCTGGGGCTTCCTGTCTTTCTTTGTGTATAAAAGACATGGGCATATTAAATTGAAATCCAGCACATACATTTTATTCCAACAATGTTAAGTCCAAAATCTCCTGAACGCTCATCACACCATTGTAATGATTTCTGAATTGGTGTTAAAATATACAGGTATTGAGCATTGTGGTTAGGACCCTTTTATGCAACACTAATATATGAGGCTAATGTTGCTTGAATAATTACTCCGTGGACACAGTTTATTCAGATATTATTTCTGTGATCTGCAAATCTATTTTTAAAACATTTGCACTGTAAAAAATGCTTTTCTTACTTAAGAATTTTTAGATATCTGGACTGGAAAAAAGGCAAAAATACTAAGCAAAATGACTTGCCGATGGGGTAAGAAAAATTATCTTGTTTCTGTTTGAATTAAGATTATTTTTCGTACCCCATTGGCAGATCATTTAGCTTTTTTTAAGCAACAACTCGCTTAATTTTGATTGATTTCCCCAGAAAACAAGACATGGCATTTTACTCTAGTAAATGTATCTTGATTTAAGATTTTTTTGGTAGTTAGACTGGAAAAAAGACAAAAATACTAAGTAAGAAAAGCATGTTTTGCAGTGTGGAGAGTTGAGTTAGTGACATGTGGATTTAAAATCACTGAAAATGAAATTTTATTTTATTTTTTCCAGCCCGGTTGCTCCTCCGAAATGACCAAACCCTCGTCTTCACGCTCAAAGAGGTGAGTCGGGTTGCACTCATTGTTTTGGCTCTGGCTCTTATCTAGTGAAATAGCTGGACTGAACTGATACCGTCTATGTTGTCTTATGCTGGGTTCAGTTCAAAACCAGATGTGGGATATTCCCCAGGGAATTTGATCATCTGATTTTAAGGTCATTAAATGTCATGTGTGTGTGTTAAATATGTGTGGGTCTTAAATTTGATCGAAAAATATAGCCCTTTAGGCTAAAATCAACATTGTTACTTAGTAGTCTGTGTTAACGGTGTTTACAGTTATAAACTGAAAGCGTCGCAGCAGGAGTCAGATTTACGGTTCAATTACGAGACTAGAGTAATGAGAGATGACTGACATTGACAAATATCTCCATATACACAGTTTACGCGTGTGTTTGAAGGCGAAAGTGAAAAGCAAACCCATATTCAAGAGCGATTTCCCCGCATACTGAACTTTCTATTCATCAAAGAATCCTGAAAAATAAAATGTATCACAGTTTCCACAAAAATATGAACATTGATAATATTCAGAAAATGCTTCATGAGCAGCAAATCTGCATATTAGAATGATTTCTGAAGGGTCATGTGACCACAGGCATAACTCTTCTCCCGCTCTTGCTGCAGGGTCAGAATTAACACGCTGCCTATGGACATGCATCTGGTAAAATAGTTATAAATGAGTAAAAAAATACATTACCAATAAATGCATAATTACCAAACTGAAATTACATACTCTAAAAAAAAATATTTTTGTATTTTTCTCATATTGTACAAAAATTAAACCTAAACCGTCTGAAATATGTTTTTTTAAATTGCCCAAATTACATAAAAATCTATTCCAAATGATAATACAATAAAGTACTTTATGTATATAAACCATCAGTTGAATATAAAAGCATAAAAACTGTCAATCTAAGATATCTATCATGGAAAACACTGCAGTGGTCGCACCACATGATATTTAAAAAATTTCTAATTTCAATTCAGAGACCGAATTGGCCACCTAAACAAAATAAGCTAGCTTCCCACAAACGGTCACTATGAAATTTATAATAAAAGTATATATTTTGTAGAAATAACTTTTTTTTTTTTGAGGTCATACCACATGATATCCAAATGTAACTACATACCAGCCGTTAAAAAGGTTATTTTTTTCCAAATTTGAGAGAGGGTTACAAACATGCTGCTTCCGTGGGTCCTTGGCAAATTGGTAGGCTATATGATGCAACTTCCTGTCTTTGAATGGATCTCAACATAAATGTCCCAAATGGTAGTTTCTTGATGGTCGCACCACATGATATTTCATAAAATTAACCTCATGGACAACATTTGTTTGTTTATTATTTTGGAAATATAAATACAAATGTGTTGCAATTTTTTACATGATTACAAAGCATTTTGTAAATCATGCCAAATAGTGTAGAAAATAAATTTAGAGTAATTTCAAAGACGTTTCCAAAACAGCAGTAATGGCCGGATGGTCGCAGCACATGATATTTTGACACTTTAAATAACAGAAAATTTTAAAAATAATTAATGGTTTTAAAAAAGTTAAAGTGAGTACACAGATGGGAGAGGTACTACATATACAGTATATGATATCTTTTCATGCATTTAAACTAAATTTTAACTAAAAAAAAAAAAATTGTCAGCTGGAAGTACCAGCCCAGAAACACCCTCAGTTTTTTTTCAGGTCTTAAAGCCTTAAATTTGATTAAAAGAAATGTCCTGCACTGTTCTTTACATGATTACGAGTAAAGAAATGAAAGCTTTTGTTTCTTTCGCAGGATAATTTGTATTATAAATGATAGTAGAGAAATGTATTTTCTGTTTTACACATCTGTCTCTGGCATACAGTTTTGAAATAGATTTTATCACAGAATGAACTTGGCCTCATTTCTGCATTATACACTTAATTGCATATAAGTGCATGTTTCATAATTGTGTAGTACTAGGGGTTGCACAGACTAGTCGCTGATCATTCATGGCCTATAGAGGGCGCAACAGCATAAGAAATCTTTGAAATACACTTTTATGCTCCGTTTTCAAACAGTTAAAATTATAAAAAAATGCATACTCAGAGAGCGCTCCACACGATATGTTGATTATACCATCTGGATGCTCAATTTATCAGGTGAAAATACGTTTTACACAGCTTATTGCACAGGTTAATCGCCGTTTTGCACTTATGTAAACTATAAACTAATGCACAATTTAAACCAATGCAATGCACAAACATACACAGTTTGGCACATGAGTGAAGATCGCGCACACAAGCATTCAGTAGCGCAGAAATGTATTGTCAACAAGAAATGTATTGTTCTGTGATTTATCAATAAAATAGCTTAGAAACTGAAAAGTTCTAGCATATTTCTTAGTAACTAAAACCCACAGCTTCACTATTACTTGAGAGACACTGCCAGAATTAATTCACTCGCAATTGCTCAATAATGCATTTATATAAATGTAATCTTTACTGTGCTACTTTATCTATATCTGATTTAGAACGAGAAAATCTGAAAGAAATATAATGACCCAAAGACAAAAGTACTGATAAGAATGAGCTGTTATGTATGAGCAATAGCCTTCGCTGTGTCATACGCCATAGCTGTGCACAAGGCAACCCGTGTTCAAGCCTCAGCTCCAGATTCAGGCTTATTTGTTCATCAGTGACGTCATCAGCGACTAGTCGACTCGACTTTCATCACATAAATCTCATGTGCTGTCATACCTTTATCTAGGGGTGCAACGGATCACAAAACTCATGCTTTGGATCATATTAAGGTTTTAGGTCACAGAACGGTTAATTTTTCAGACCAGCAAAAAAAAGGAAAAAAAGGAATGCAAAATGGCTATATTTGCGCGCTTGGGTGTGTGCACACAAAACTGAATTGTGTTCTAGTTCACGTCGTCTTGAGCTTGATTTGTTTAAAATCGCTTGATTTTTTTTTAAATTGACAAGACTTTAAGATTATGAACTATCTATCACTCTATGATGGTTAATTACCGTATTTTCCGGACTATGAGTCGCTCCGGAGTATAAGTCGCATCAGCCCAAAAATGCGTCATGACGAGGAAAAAAACATATATAAGTCGCACTGGACTATAAGTCGCATTTATTTAGAAATTTATTTAACAAAATCCAAGACCAAGAAAAAGTTATTTAAACAAATGCCTTCTTCTGTTTTAATGAATTAAAGTCTAAGTTATTCAGCTACACACAATAGCACAAAGAACAACAGGCTGAATATGTGTCCGGTATGTTGTTAACGTAACACATCAACAGTTAGCTACACAATAGCATAAAGAACATACCTGAGAGGCTGAATAGGATAAAATAAAAAAATAACATAAGAAAGCGAGTCCAACAGACTCGTTCCTCCAGCTCTGGCCATCTTGCTTTCAGCCCGCGATTAGCTTTCTTTGTTTTCTTCATTTCAGTTAGAGTAACCTCTGCTTTTCGCCAGTCCCTCACAAGTTTCTCATTCACTCCGAACTTTCTTTCTGCTGCTCGATTACCGTTTTCGGCTGCATATTTTATTACCTGCAGTTTGTAATCTGCAGAATATGATTTTCTTTTTGGGGGCATTTTGTTTGCGTTCAGTCTAATATTTCAGTTAATATCAGTTGTTTTCAGTAAATTTTTTCAGTGGTAAAACTAGCTGTAGTCTAGAGCGCATAGAGCGCTCTCTCGTGGCTGTAGACGGTAATGTCACCCCCAATTTTGGCAAATGATGCATTCATGTCATACCACAAATACATCAAAAACTCGCAAATAATAATCTGGGGCCGTCAGCGATCCTGTGACGAGTAAATCTTGGTAATTTTGATATATAAGTCGCACCTGACTATAAGTCGCAGGACCAGCCAAGGTATGAAAAAAAGTATTATAGTCCGGAAAATACGGTAGTCCGTGAATCACGTTTTCCGAACAGTGGGGCCTGTTCCGTACGGATCAACTACGATCCGTTACACCCCTGCCTTCATCCATGGATTTCCACACAAGTTTCCAAGTCTGACATGATTTGTGATTTTTCTATTGCACTTTTCCAAATAGGAAATACTTACTTCCTGAATTTGAAAGGAACACAGCTCTGATTAGCAACTTGACTTCATGTGTATTGTTTTATAAAAAATACCAAGGTAGGCAAAGACAACCCAAGCTGACAAGCATGACAAGAGTCATTTGTGTTGAGAATGTTGTTTTTAACACAATCTGAGAAAGTCCCCTTTAGACTAGGGCTGCTCGATTATGGCAAAAATCAATATTGAAATCACGATTATTGGTGGGCGATATAACCAAAGTCTTATCTAATGAGATGGGTCATTTTAAATGTTAGTGAAATTTCACAATTATTGATACTTCAGCAAAAAATAAAACTAGGTTAATTAATGTAAGTAAAATGAGTCAGCAATACACAAGACAAGTTAACAGTCAGCAATACAATAAGAACTAAGAAACTAAATTACAAACAAAACTGACAAAAAATAGAACTGAGCAAAAACACAAATTAAATGGTGCTTTAAAGGGATACTCCACTTTTTTTGGAAATAGGCTCATTTTACAACTCCCCCAGAGTTAAACTGTTGAGTTTTACCGTTTTTGAATCCATTCAGCCGATCTCCGGTTCTGGCGGTACCACTTTTAGCATAGCTTAGCATACATCATTGAAGTGGACAAGACCATTAGCATTTCTAAAAAAAAAAGTGACCAAAGAGTTTCGATATTTTTCCTATTTAAAACTTGACTCTTCTGTAGTTACATCGTGCACTAAGACCGATGGAAAATGTAAAGTTGCGATTTTCTAGGCTGATATGGCTAGGAACTATACTCTCATTCCTGCGTAATAATCAAGAAACGTCACTGCCGTACCATGAGTGCAGCAGGCGTAATGATATGACGCAGCGCCTGAAAATAGGCCACCTTCCGTCAACACAACGGAACTATTTTCAGGCGCTGCGTCATATCATCCATCGAGAGAGACCCAGTGTGAGCATTAGTAAATTGCGTTAGTAAATTGGTTGCCTACATACTACAATATATAATTACTATATAAGAGGCATGGAAGTTCGATTAATGGACTCCAGTAAATCAGTAGGCTACTACAAACATCTTGTTTTAAACTATTGTTTAATAAATAGAAATAATTCGAGCACATAAACTTTCATATGGAGGATTAAATAAGATTCAATTTATGCAAGATTTCATAACTAATCACTGACACTGTACCACAACCAGGTTTTAAGTTTCTTAAGCATCAAATAACAATGACTCTAAATTTTATCCATTAATCGAACTTCCATAGTGCATAGTTCTGCCTTGAATTTTCTCATTTGGTTACATTCTGTTATGGAAAATAAATTTTCTATTGATTGTAGGCCTATATTTTGAGTTGTATTCACATCCATTTTCCTGTAAAGATATCGAGATATACATTGAATATCGAGATATGGCAAAATATATCGAGATATATTTTTTGCTCCATATCGCCCAGCTCTACTCAAGCCCATAGTTTATCTGCCCCGCGCAGAAAGCCGCCTGGGGAACAGCGTCTTTTTCGTGGCTTAAAGCGCTTTAATAACACTGTTTAATATTAAGTACATCCCGCAGTTTAGCAACAGTAGACTGCATTTTACAACACTCACTGATTTGGCTGATGTGGATGTCAAGTTTGGGCTTTTAGGGAGGAACGAAAGCTGTGAAGGAAAGGAAGCGGCACAATAATAATTTTACATTGATTATTTTGTTTTCATAATCGTTGGAAGCCGAAATCGAAATCAGAAAATCAATTACGATTAATCGCACAGCCCTAATTGTTGGTGTTGCATTCCTCTATATCAACTGCTGTTGTTGCTTGCACATTACTAGGGCTGGGACGGTTACCGCATTACCGCAATACCGCGGTCACGTGACTCCAACCGCGAGTCTGAGCTCGTCACCATCATCACCGCAAAAAACAAACAAAAAAAAAACACACATGTGTGCACGCTGTGTCTAATGATATGGATTCATTGATTCTAATGACATGGATTATTAGGGTGTTTAAAGCGGTTTACCGCTATACCGCGGGAATATCTTGCTTTTCAACCGTGGTTAGAAAAAATCCATACCGCCCCATCCCTACACATTACCTTTAATAACAATTAAGATATTACAATGCCTCTGTAGTTTGCCACATTTTATGGTCATGCTCTATGAATTGCATATTCATGTGGGAATTGGGTGCCTTTGGGAGGAATGTTAGAAAAGTGTATGGGAGGGAAAAGGATATATATTGATACTGTTTATCAGAACAAACCTGTTGACCTTTTCCCCCCTTTTTTTATATTGAAGAAAACCTTCATTTGTGACCAAGCACACTGCTGTCGATGAACCCGAATGTGCAAATGAGAGTGGAGGTGAACACTGCACAGATGACAGCATGCAGAGCGGCCTGGATATTAACAAGTTACCACAAGGTAGGTCCACTGTTAAGATGATCGAGTGTCTTCTGAAGCGTGTAGTTGAAGAGCCACACTGAGCCTCCCGGCTTCTCGTCTCTCAGGCACAGTGGTGGTGAAGCCGGAGCCGGTTGCTAATGAAGCTAAAGATGAATTCAGAGGTCCGGAGTTTCGTAACCGAGGAAGTAAAGTGAAAGAGGACGGACCACGGAAACGTTTGGGTGAGTGAGCTCATGCCTGCTGTAAATCATCTCAAACGCCACTGAAGTTTATTGAATTATCAGAAATCAGTTATTTGCCATTTGTTTGTTATGTAACACCTATTGCACCTATTCGAATAACGTGAATGTAATAGTCGTAAGAAAGATTCCCTTGAATCTAAAGATTGCAGCCCAGAATAGCAACCAATGGTGATAGTCGTAAGAAAGATTCCCTTGAATCTAAAGATTGCAGCCCAGAATAGCAACCAATTTGTAGAGTTGTGTAACCTGTTTGGCTGAAAAAAAAGGGAGGATTTTGAAAGCAGTTATGTTTTGTGATCATGACACCTTCACCTCTGGAATTTATTGCATTGCCTTTCTATTTTTGCAAAATTTCACTTATTTGGATGGCTATATGTGCTTTGGTGTCTGTTATACCGCTTATGTTGCAACGCCATCTACTTAGACGGAGTCAAGTTCACATCATTGATTATTATTCGCACAAAAATTTTTTCTCAGAGCATCTGCTATTTAGCACATTTCAAAGCGGAAGTATCATGTGTCCATCAATCCTCGCTGTAGTTAAAACATTAAAACACAGCATTCACAACAAGTGTTCAAAAGCAGCACATTCACTACAAATATGTTATTTAAATTAATTTAAAAAATGTTGTGACTTATGGATAGTGTTTGAAATTTCAGTGCTTAACTCCTTTAATGAGAGTGGCACATTTAGTTAATCTAAATGTGCATATCAGATGTAAAACAGAGTTTAAATCAGTCTGCGTACTTCATTAATTCGCTCACTCCAGTAAAAGAAGGTCTAGGTTTGTTTTTTATAAATCCCGATATGTGAGTGGAAAATTGCGAATGCACATTTATATGCTTTTTTTGCGCGTACGCAACATTTATACATCAGGCCCCTGGTCCTGAAGTACATCTAATTTTAGGGTGTTTTCACACTTGAGTCCTCTTTAAAAGAGTGTGCCAAGTGTAAAAACACCCAATTAAATCGACCTGATCATTAGTAGTGCACTTAAATACGTAATAGTGTTTCAACTAACAGATGCATGCAAAATGTGCAGTGTTGGCTGCTCTAGGACCAGGTTTGAGAAAGACTGCTAGAATATTAAAGAGTCTAAGGCAGCGTTGCAATATTACTGTTTTATTTTCTTCATTTATTTTTTAATCTCTGACAGACGAGAACCTCCAGGAGATATTTAATTGCACAGCATGTGGACAACAAGTCAATCATTTTCAGAGGGATTCCATCTTTCAACATCCTGCACTGCATGTTCTTATCTGCAAGGTAGAAGCCAGATTCACTTAATACAGCCAATCATGCGCTTATATATCTGTCATTAACATGCATGCCTTTTTCCTACAGTCATGTTTCAAGTATTATATGAGTGACGATATCAGCAAGGATGATGAAGGGATGGATGAACAATGCAGGTTGGTGCATAACATTTATTTTTTATATAACATTTATAACATTATAGCTGGGACGATGGCAACATATTTCACGTTTACCACAGCAAAAACTAATGAATGCACTGCTCAATTAACCAAAAAAGTTCAATTAAACGAAAACTGTGTTGTGCTACTTTAAGAATTTTTTTATTAAATCAATATTGCTTCAATGTAATTATTCAAGTAAACAGTCTGTACCACAAATACCACAAATATTGGTATTGACTACTAATATGTTGCCATCGTCCCAGCTATAATGTTATAAATGTTTAAATAAATGTAACATTTCAACTATTGAGTACTTTTAGACGAACAAAAAAAAGGTTGTATATAATCTTTGTTTGTCTCATGTATGTTTGTTTTTTAACCCTATTGCAAATCAAATTTCCCCGGGTGGGACAATAAAGACTGAACTGTAATACAATTTAAACCATTTTTTTATTTTGTTAAACCACAGAGCAATGATACAGGTTAACTTAACCTGTTTTTCAGGTTTCTAAGAGCAGTATCAAGTTAACAATCAGAAATTTGACTAAATAAATAAATAAGAGTGTTGCTGTTTTTACTGTACTGATTCAAACAGTGTATACTATTGTAGAAAATGTTTCTGTAACATTTTCATATTAACTTGAAAGTCCTGGTGGTTTTAAAATCGTTAGAAAACGCAGTTGTATTTCCCCCAAATTAATTTAATGATTGGATGTTGTATTTTCTTTTCAGGTGGTGTGCAGAGGGTGGCAATCTGATTTGCTGTGACTACTGCAGCAATGCCTTCTGCAAAAAATGCATTTTGCGCAACCTTGGACGAAAAGAGCTGTCTGAAATCATGAATGAAGAAAGCAAATGGCACTGCTTTGTGTGCTGCCCAGAGCCGCTGAAAGACTATGTTAAAACCTGTGAAAAAGTTTTGCTCAGTTTGGAATCTCGTTATAAAAAGCCCAGGGGAGAAAGTGACAAGACAAAGCGTGAAGACCGCAAACACAAGCATACCAAACGGGAAAAAACCGCAGTAAACGGACAGGATTATGCTTCAGACGGAGCGGGAACCGTAACCTTTTCCTGTAAGACGTTGAAGGTTCCCAAAGAGCTAGTCAAAAAGACCAAAAAACTAATCGAGACCACAAACGGTTTGAACCGTACTTTTGTGCAATTCCTCCAGCACACATCAAATGGCCCTGATGTTAAGGCGGTAAGTTATAGACACTTAAAGGCCTTCAAATCAGTTTTGGCTGATCTGAAAAAGGCTCATGCAGCTCTTGAGGACTCGCTTGAAAAAGAATTTGAAGAGAAAGGCCTCAAGTTTCAGAATGGAGAGGAGCAAAGACCAGCAGACAGTCAAACTGCAGGTAAAACGGTTGTTAACTCGCACCATGCGGACCCCACAACTGTCAGGGATGATGGTTTGGATTGCCCTACTATGGACTATAATCCTGTGGTAGAAGAGGAAAACCAACAGGACAGTAACTCGGCTGATGTTGAGATGAAGGAGAGCCTTCCACTCTCGCCAGAAGAAGCTCAGGACTTGTCTGAAGAAGGAGACCGGCCTGAAGAAAGAGTCCAGTCTGGAGAAAGAGACCGGTCTGGAGAAAGAGACCAGTCTGGAGAAAGAGACCAGTCTGGAGAAAGAGACCGGTCTGGAGAAAGAGACCGGTCTGGAGAAAGAGGACGGTCTGGAAAAAGAGAACGGTCTGGAGAAAGAGACCAGTCTGGAGAAAGAGGCCGGTCTGGAAAAAGAGGCCGGTCTGGAAAAAAAGAACGGTCTGCAAAAAGAGACCAGTCTGGAGAAAGAGAACAGTCTGGAGACAGAGACCGGTCTGAAGAAAGAGACCAGTCTGGAGAAAGAGGCCGGTCTGGAAAAAGAGGCCGGTCTGGAAAAAAAGAACGGTCTGCAAAAAGAGACCAGTCTGGAGAAAGAGAACAGTCTGGAGACAGAGACCGGTCTGAAGAAAGAGACCAGTCTGGAGAAAGAGGCCGGTCTGGAAAAAGAGGCCGGTCTGGAAAAAAAGAACGGTCTGCAAAAAGAGACCAGTCTGGAGAAAGAGAACAGTCTGGAGACAGAGACCGGTCTGAAGAAAGAGACCAGTCTGGAGAAAGAGGCCGGTCTGGAAAAAGAGGCCGGTCTGGAAAAAGAGACCAGTCTGGAGAAAGAGAACAGTCTGGAGACAGAGACCGGTCTGGAGAAAGTGAAGCTAAAGATCAGGAAATGGCAGATAATCCTGACTTTGAGGAAAGCTCTGTGCCAGCGGGTGAAGCGTCTCTGGATAAAGACATTGTGTCTATTCCACCGTCTGTCCCAGAGGAACTCTTTGAGATGGTCGAGAGTCTCGCTGTAAAGAAAGAAGATGATGCTGGCAACTCGACCGATTCCAGTGATGGGAAATCGACAACCAAAGCGGAGGTTGTGGAATCCAATAAGAGCCTTACAAAACTGGGTAAAAAACTCGTCGTCAAACTAACACCCGTTCCTCTTAAAATTACCATAAAGCGAGATAAGAGCAGTGAACGGTCACCTTCAGAAGACATGGATGGGGAGACGTTACCAAAGGAGGGTCAAGATAGCCGACGCTCCCCCAGGATGAAGACCACACCCTTACGCAAGTCGCCGGAGGCAAAGAGCAAACGTAAATCAAGGTCGTCAAAGGCAAAAGAAGAGCGCAGTGACCCAGTCGAGGAGCAGTGTGATTCAGACTCGGATGAGGTCCCTGAGGTCCTGCAGACGGCGGCTTTGAAGGCCAGCTCTGATGAGAGTGAAACCGAAAACTGCGGGAAAGCTTCTGGGAAACGCACCAAGAAGAAGAAATTGGCTACTCGCTCAACTGCGAAAGGGAAGCCAAAGCGCAAACTCGATATGGGCTCCTCGGATTCGGAGCAGAGTGACAAGTCGTCAACAGCAAAAAAAAGAAGAACCAAAAAGAAGAAAGGCAGGGAATCGGACTCCTCAAACCACAACTCCGATCTTGAGAAGGAGATGAAAAACCTGGCCAAGATGGGTAGTGGGAAAAAAAAATCCAAAGGCGTCAAAAAGGAAGAGGAGGAATGCAGTAAAGAGGGCAAAAAAGGGCCTAAAAGGTCATTCGAGCGGGTACGAAGGTCTCAGAGAGAAAAGGCTAAACCCAAGGAAGAGTCTTCCTCCAGTGACGAAGAGGAGGAGGAGAAAGAGGAGGAGAAGGAGGCTGATAACTCAGGAGAAGACAGTGATCAGCAGAAGATTAAACCAATACTTGAGTCTGTTATGGCTAGTATTGATGGTTTCCATCAGTCATCAGGTCAGTCAACAAAATGGTTGAATTAAGCTACATTTTAGGGCAGAAAGTATTCGCTTTTATTCGATTTTGAATTAGGAAAAATAAAATGGTAGGAAAATGTACTAAGTTAACCACTGTCCCTTTATAATAAAAAATAATTGATCTTGATTTTTTTTAAAAACATTTTCCTGCCAAATTTAGCACCAGCTTTCTAACTAACTGGTGGACCACATAACAATTGTAAAATGTCAATTATATGCATAAAACGGGAATGTCAGTGTTAAAACTACTCGGCACACTAAAGAGGCTTTTGTACTGGAGGAGCGGTTTCATAGTTCCTATAACTTTTGGCAGAAGCGCCTTCTTTTTGGCGTGTTCACATCGCAGGACCTGGGAAGTTTTTCAGTTATAGGAACGCCTTTAGGGGGACTTATGGGTCGTTTCCACTGAGCGGTACGGTACAGTACAGTATGGTTCGGGTCGGTAAACCATGATCCGGCTAGCGTTTCCACCGCCAACAGTACCCTTGCTTGATAGGCGTGGTGTTTGCCGGAAAGAAGAGATCGACGTCATTTTCGCGCGAAGAAGAAAGCGACATGGTAAACAACTATGGATGACAGACAGCAGATCTTGTTCTTGCTTCTCGGCATGTTTGTCACAAGAAACAAGCGCCGGCATTAGGCGTTTCTCAATACCAAGTAGCCTACGCAAAGTCCGACTCAGGAGAATGATCCCGAGGACGCGAGTCCAGTAATTCTGCTGATGGAACAGTGCGTTCTTGACAGCGCCACTCAGCTCGCTCTGCTACTCCGGTTATCTCTGTATGTACATTTTAGGCAACAATAAAACGAAATATGTTATAAAACACCACTCTGCTTCTTTTCGATTTCATTTAAATACATTTTAAACATTATAAGCACACAAATGTGGTTCATGCAACGCATATCCTATTGATTATATTCACGTATTTAGCCTATATTTATAACAAAACTAAATTCAAAACACAACCCTGCCTCTTTTTGTTTAAATTTAAAAATATTCAAGGGAATATGTGCATTGGTACAAATGTTGCAATAAACAACAATACAGATGGTCTTGTAATAAAATAAAAAATTACAAAACTCAACCCTATCTCTTTTTGTTAAATTTCAGTTTTATCAATAATAGCCATTATAAAAGTATAAGTAAAAGGTACAAAAAGCTATACAGTAAAGCTTTAATAACATAAAGCGAACAATTCAGTCAAATATACAAATTCAGCGCTCCAATATATGAAACATCACTTCTGCCAAAACTATTGGCCAGGGTACGAATTATAGATTCACAAGACCAAAGATCGCCTGTTAGGTCTATACAAGACAAAATTATATCTCATGTTTAACCAGTACAGACAGAGACGTCAGAGTCAGCGGCAAACATCAGAACGACTAGCCGAGGAAAGGCTGTTCCAGGCGGGGTACTTGAGCGCCGAGCGCTCAGTGATTGCTTGGAATGGATCTCAGTCAAATTATCATAAATCTATAAATAAACCACAGATTTGAGCTTTAAAAAACTACATTCTCGCCTGAAAAACTCTTAAAACTACATTTTGTGACACGATAACAGTAGTATTATATTATATATATATATATATATAAAATGTCGCTTCTAATGCCCTTGTAGCACGCGCAAGTGACGATACTCTGTCAACCAATCACCCTTCTGCAGTGAGTCTAGCTCCACTTTTTAGTACCGTAGCACTGTGCTAGGTACCCCAACGGAAGGGTACCCAAAAAGTGGTACGGTACGGTTCGGCTTTTTGGTACCATTCACAACTTTTGACAGTGGAAACGCAAATAATTGCATACCGTACCGAACTGTACCGTACCGCTCAGTGGAAACGAGCCATAAATGACCTCCTACTTCGGGCCAGGGTCAAACCCAGCACAATAGGATCCAGCAGTGATGTTTTAAATATCTACATTATTTTAAATATATCTACTCAGTGAAAGAGTGCAAGTATATTCATCTAAAATAATTCTGTATCTTCAGGATCATGAATATTGTTATTCTGGTGTCTCTATTGTCCTGTGCTTTGGGTTTCCAGCAACAAGTCCAAGTTTATTAATTTACACACACAATGTAAAACCAAATTTACCATTTTAATCAACAGTAAATTTTTGTAAACTTTTTATCACATGTCTTGGAGTATCACAATAATATCGTATCGTGAGTTCAGCATCATGATATGTATCGAATCGTGACATGAGTGTCTCGTTTAGTTAATAGAAGTTTATTGATGAATAAAATCTATTTATGACATTATTTTTGAAAGCATCCTCACTTTTACACGAGTGGCTAAAAGTCTTCACGGTACCGTAGCTTTGCAGGAAGGTTTCTTCGAGCGTCTTGGTGACGTTGCCACAGTTCTTCTGGATTTAGTCAGTCTCAGTTTTTATGGTTTTTCATGTAATCACAGACTCGATGATGATGAGATCAGATCACACCGGCTGTTGTCCAAAAAATCACCTGTGACTGATGTTTATTGAATTTCATGGCTTTTTCTTGTTTATCAAGGTGATGAAGTTGAAATAAAGGCTGAATCCTCCCAGGTGGATGATGATGACGACCCTGAAAATAGGTATCATTTATACTTGCTGTGAATATTTTTTTTTAAAGTTTCTGTCTGTTTAAACACTAACACTGTGGGTCTTAAAAATATCATCCAGTGAAAGTGCCTGTATTATGCTTTTTCGGATATGACGCTTCATGTAGTGTGCTGCATAATAGCTGTTTGTAAATGTAAAAGATCTGCAAAGTTTCAAAGATCAAAATGTTTCGTGGTACACATGAAGTAAAAGTACACATAGATACTGTAAACTTTAACCTCCAGGTGCGTCTAATAACGGGCAAAACGCATATCTCTGGTATTTGCTCTATTTGAGTTTGTTTGTGGTAAAATGTTAATAATATGATGACACGTGCAAGTTTCGAACAATATAAAGCTGCAGTACCAACTTTGACAACTTGGTGTTGAGTTATTTTTAAAAAGTATAACGTTTTTTAATTCCTGAAAAGTATTGTACATACAAGGTTTCTGCCCGACAGCATTTCAAGACAGTAACTGTTGAAATTAATGTTAATATGCAGAATCCACTCAGTTTTTATCGTTCCCTGGGGATCGAACCCATGATCTTGATGTTTGTAGTTACTTTGATGCACATCATTCTGCATTTGATTAAGATGATCAAACTAGTTACCTTGAAAACATTCTAGACTAGACATTCATAAGTTAAAATAAGTTGTATTTTTATGGACTTTTGGCCTAATCTTGTTTCTATCTCTTCTAAAAGAATTGCCAAGAGGATGCTTTTGGCGCAGATCAAAGCCAACTATTCGTCTGGAGCTGATAGTTCATCGGATGATGAAAACGCAGACAAAGAGGATAGGGATTCACGAAAGAAAGGAAAAGATGGTGCAAAGGAGCAAGACGAGAGCGGTGAGTTAAGAATTAATTCAGATTTGAATGCAGTTTAAAGCAGATGTGTTCTTGTCATGTATAGTGCATTGATGTTGCGTGCAGAAAAAGAGGAAGAGGACGAAACTTCAGACTCGGGCTCAGATGTGGACGTGAAGAAAGGTGGACGCAGGCACCGTTTGCTGCGTAAGAAGTTGACTCTAAGTGAGGGTGACTCTGATGAAGAGACCCCAGTCAAAAAAAAGAAAGAAACCAAAAAGAGAGGCCGGCGGAAAGGTCAGTGTCGAGTCTAAACATAAGCCGGCACATGTGACTCCTCTGAAGTGTTGTTGAATTGTTTTATTGATATGTGTTTGTGTAGTGGACAGTGATGATTCGGCAGACTCAGACTTTGAGCAGTCGCTCTCGGGCTCCAGTGATGCGTCAGTGCTCAGTGAGGCTGTGAGTGAAGAAGAGGATGAAAACAAGAGCAATAAACGCAAAACACGGTAAGGATGGCAGCAGTTCTGTAGTTCCATGCCATGGCGTAGCTATCGACACATTGGTCCGCAAGTTTGAGTCCCTGATCCACGTTACCGTCCCATATTTAAAGGGATAGGTCATAGGGGTGGGCGCTATACCGGTATGAACGTGACTACCGGTATTATGTTGTACCATGATATGGATTTTGCGATACCGAGAATACCGTTAGATATTCATAAATTCAAATTTTGTAGTTATATTGTTTTGTTCAATTTGGTACTCTTTACAACGTTAAAATAACACTACTAATGATGATACAATATCGAGGCTGAACTGAATCTTTTCCTCTTGTGTCCAACTCGCGTGATGCACAGGCATTAATAATCAAACACTGAGAGCATGGTAACAGTCCAGTGTTTCCCACCACACACAGACTAATTCGTGGCGGTGCGCCACAGAATCAACACCGGCCGCCACATAATGCGTTTCGTTATTATTATTATTTTTTTACGGCATTTAAAACACGCGGTGTATTCGTTCTCTGTCACTGTGACAGCGTGTCACTCCGTCTTGTCACACACGCGCCTCTCGCACATGCACACACACACACAGTGTCTGTCTATGAGGCGCCGGGCGGGATAAAAGCGAAGCGAACTCTGCGATCGACAACGAGAGAGTCCGCGTGTGTCCGAGCATTAGTAAATTGATACATAGTAGCCTAATATATAATTACTATATAAGAGGTATGGAAGTTCGATAAATGGACAACAATATATATAAAAACAACAATTAAATTCTCACCACTGAATTAGCAGGATGTAGCCTACTTCTCTCTTTTGGTCAGTATACAAAAACTTCTCGGTTAACATAATGTTGTCTTCAATTAGGCCTAAGTGTCAAACCTCTCTGAAATCACACTATTTCATATTTATTGATTATAACGTATTCAATAAACCAAACTCCAGTGTTACTCATCTTACGAATTATTAATGAAGGAATTATTTGACCCCGCAAAATAAAAAGTGGAAAGAGATAACTAGTGAATTCAGGCCTACCTCATGTTGCACGTTTGCACTTTTTGAGAAAAACAATGGCACAATAACAAAAAAGATTTTTCAGGTCTATGTCCAATTAAATCCCTCACCTTTTTCTAGTAATAGGGTTAAAATACATATTTTGCCTGTAATTTAACTAAGGTGTAGGCTACTAAAATGTGATTCCAATTTTTTTTTTCTCATATCGCAATATAATATCGATATCGTCCGGACAATGAAAAATATCGTGATATGAATTTTTGCTCATATCGCCCACCCCTAATAGTTCACTTCAAAATGAAAATTCTGTCATCATATACTCTCCCTCAGGTTATTCTGAATTTCTTTCTTCTCCTGAACAAAGGAAGACATTTTGAAGAATGTCAGTAACCAGAAACTTTAACTGGAACCATTGACTTCCATATACATTTTTTTTTCTACTATGGAAGTCAATGGGTCCAGTTAACTGTTTGGTGTCTGACATTCTTCAAAATATCTTCCGTTGTTCAGCAGAAGAAATAAATTAAGTTTGGAACAACTTAAGGGAGAGTAAATGATGACAGAATTTATTTTTGTCTGAACTGTCCCCTTAATGTCAGTCAATTGACCCCAATGCAGCTGAAGCAAAGAGCAACTCAGTATTTCTGCTCTCCAGGCAGAGCATCACGAGGGAAACGCTCCCCTTTTGACAACATCTATGCGTCACAGACAGTCAGTTAGTGCATAACACCGTGTTCACACTCGATAAAAGGTATATTTTTTCATGTTAATCCGTTTTTGTCCTAACCAACCGCGACACACAACGATTCTATTTTAGAAACGGTTTCTATTTTTCTGCGACGTCGCACTGGAACATCAAACACAAAGTGTGGCATTGATAATCTCAGGTACCGTTTATGTGCTTTATTTAATGTTAAAAGCGTGTAATGTGACTTTGAATATCATTTAGTGTTCCCAGCTGTAAAAGCAACAATGGATAATTCACCTCAAATCTTGAAATGAAAGTAATGGAAACAAGAACGTTCAAACTGAAAACAAACAAGTGTATTATTTGACAAAGATTGTTTTAGTAACTCAGTAGCCTATGTATTTGAACAATGTTTAAATGGTGCAATATTTGTGAATTTGATTATGTAGCCTACTTATCCATTTTCTTGCGATTGCCATCAAGATTACTCTCTGGTGCTGTGCACTTGCCGCGAGACTCCGCCCACACGCTGTTCTGATTGGCTGGGGGTTTTGATTGATTTTTATGCATTTCGTAGTCACGTCGTGTCTAGTGTGGACAGACAAATTATCTGTCGCTAGAATCTTATCGCATCGCACCTGGTTAGGACACGGTGTAAGACTTACAACCCAGACCGAGATACAATCATTGAATGCATTTATTATGGTGTGTAGTTCGACCTATGCTAAAATAAATACCTGATCATTGTGGATGTGAGGTTCTACTGACATATTTCCATCTAAATCTTTTGTTTCTATAGTGGTGCAGTGTTGTTGTGGGAAGCTCTCTATTTCGATGGTCCAATTTAGACATTCTACTAGTGTTGTCAAAAAATATTGGTATTTCGAAATGTATCGATACTGAAATATCTTAAATGGTTCCAACGCTCCGTTTCTGCAGTATCGATACCAGCGTTCTCGCGCTCTCTTCTCTCCGATGGCCAATTAACACACGCCCTCTTCCTCTCACTTACTCGTCTCATTCCCTCCGGTTAAATAGTGCTTTTATTGCGTATAAGTTTGCCGCAATTTTAATTGCCGCAAGTTTCGCACTCACACCAAAAGCTCGTTCACCACTGATCTATAGTTTAAGTGGCGCTCTCATACAGCTGCCTCTCTTAACAGCTCGCAAGTACCAAATAGACTTCTTTTGCGTGGCTTATTGCGCTTAAATGGTCAAATACATAAAAAAAAGTCAAATGCCCGTCTTCCCGAGTATTCAGGTAAATGCAGTCAGTATTGGAACATAATTGTAAATAGTTTAGAGAAAAGGCATGTTGTGTAACCGTACATTGGATTGGAATATTCCTGCTGCTCTCTGTCATGTTAATCAAAGAACAAAAGAAAAAAAGATTATCACTCTCTGCTCTTGACTGAATAACTTTAAGCGTAAATCTGTATTTCATTTTTACATTGAAAACCATCCAGTGTTATTTTATATTCGATTACTTTCATTTCTCTAGTATTTCTTGCCTGAATATACTGTTGAAACACATGAAGCCGTTTATATAATTTGTCTCTTTCTTCTGTTGTATTTATGTGTGCTATCATTTGCAATTTGTTCTTATTTTATATTAATATAAAATTGAATAACAATTTTATAATATAAAATGTAATATAATATAAAATGGAATTGAATTCTCATTGTTTTAAAATAATATAAAATATAATTTGACAAGACTGTTTACTTGTCTTTTTTTGTAAATGTAAGCTATTACTACAAAATTACCCAAATTATCAAATTATGAGATGATAAAAAATGATATGTATGGGCGGTATTATGTGAATCATATTAGAATGATTTCTGACGGATCATGTGACACTGAAGACTGGAGTAATGATGCTGAAAATCCAGCTTTGATCACAGGAATAAATGACAGTTTAACATGTATTCACATAGAAAACAAATATTTTAAATAGTAATAATATTTCTGTGTATAGTGTTTTTGATCCAATAATTGCAGCCTTGGTGAGCATAAGAGACTTCTTTCAAAAACTTAAAACAAATCTTATTGACCCCAAACTTTTAATGGTAATATATGTTTTAAGTGTTTAGTCTAATCAAATGTGCAAATAAAAAATTCTCTCTGGCCACATTCCCCTTTCATTAGGGCTGGGTACCGAGTTCGGTACTTTTTAGGTACCGACCGAATTGCCTCGATACTACAGAGTATCGAAACATGTCTTGTTTTTCGGTACCACATTTCGGTACCTAAGTGGTTAATCTCGTCAATGTCAGTGAAACAATAAGCATGCAGCATGATTGGCTGTGGCGGAAAAACACTAGTTTACGCGGCTGCCCAGAGACGCGGCTCGTCGCACGTGAGGCTGCAGTGTGTGTGTGTGTGTGTGTAAGCGTGCGTCCCAACCCAGATAGATAGAAAATATGTGGAAATGATCCAAAGTGTACCTATGTCATGTGCCAGACTCGATGCCAGATGCACGCGATGCAATATTTTCGACAAGATCATTGCTGCCAAGACCGGCAACACGGTAAATCTAGGCACTGAAGCGCACAAAATACACTTGAGAGTAATGGTGTTCACATCGAACGCGAATAGAGCGTCAAATACGCGTCTATCGCGTCTAGTTCAACGCTTGAATCTTCAGCTCGAGTTCAAATTTTTCAACTTGCGCGGAAGACGTTCGCGGCAAACGCGTCACCCAATTCGCGTCATTCGCGACGCCCGGCGCGAATGATGCGTCTATTCGCGTCTTTGCATTGACTATGTATGTAATCTACTCGCACAAATAATTAAATTCGCGTTCGGTGTGAACACACCATTAGTAAACACTTGTTCATTAATAAATAATTAAAATATCTCCTTGCTATTGTTTCCACATCCATAATCATTAGGCTACTTTTGCCAGTGCTTTGCTGCAAGCTTCACGTGCAGGTATATATCCCGCCCCCCGTAGCCTATATTTAATTTAATTCACATTTATTTGTATAGCATTTTTCACAATACATATCGTTTCAAAGCAGCTTTACAGAAAATGCATGTCTAAATTACAATTTAGAGTGATCTGTTATCAGAGGTGACAGTGTAATGCATTTCAATTAATTTTCATTCAGTTTCATCGTTAATTAATGCATTAAGTTAAAGCAGAAACAATGAGCTCATTGAAGTAAAGAATACATGTTGTTAAATGATTAGGAAACATAGAAAACTTTAGCATTGGTGCTTTTTTACATACTCAAAATATGAGTGTAAAAAAGTCAACAAACTGAAAAAAAAATTAGGTAATGTTATATTGTTAAACCTGGTTACATAAAATTGGTATCGAAAAAAGTATCGTTCAGGAACCGGTATCGAAGTCAAGGTATCGGTATCGGTACCGAACATTTTGTTACGATACCCAGCCCTACCTTTCATAAAATCTTCTGCTAAATTATTATGGATTATTAATAATCATGGTTTATTAATGCATTTTTTTTACACCAAATGAGTCTATTACTGTTTGCTGAGGTAAATAAAACTAACCAAACATGTCCTGGTAACACTTGCAGATCGTCCAAGAGAGCAGGCAAAGACGGTGAGAGAAGTTACCAGAAAGAAAAGAAAAAACGACGTCGCATTAAGGTTCAAGACTCCTCATCCAGTGCCAAGGTGCCGTATATTACACATCTATTTCAGCATGATGAATTTACAAGCTGCTGATGTCTTTATGTGAAGGATGTTTGGTTTTTCGCCTCTACAGAGTGGAGAGGAAGGGGATGGGGATGGTGATGGTGACGAGGAAGGGGACGACAAAGGAACACCCAAAAATCGCAAGAAGATCCGCAAGATCCTTAAAGATGACCTTCTGCGGACAGAGACCCGAGATGCCCTGAAGGAGGAAGAGGACAGGAGGAAACGCATCGCTGAGAGGGAGCGCTTGAGGGAGAAACTACGAGAGGTACAAATCTAAGATGCAAATATTTAGGGCTTAGAAACTGTTCCTTTGTATTATAGTTTTCATCTTGTACAGAAAACTCAAAGCTGGGGCTCTTTGGTTTCAGACTATCGTGGTGGAGGAGTCGTCGCAGATCGCGTGTCCCATCACCACTAAACTGGTGCTCGATGAGGACGAGGAGACCAAGGAGCCACTAGTGCAGGTTCACAGGAACCTGGTGACCAAACTCAAACCCCATCAGGTGGATGGTGAGTCGAGCACACGTATATTTTTGGTTATAGCAACTTTTTAGCATTTCTAGTGTGTCCCTGAAAAGGGTTCGCCAAAGTAAATCAATGTTTAAAGTCCTCATCAAATAAAGATTTTCCCTATTTCTTATTAAATGTTACATTTTTTAGCAAGAAAATAACTTTCTCCATCTCTAAATCTGCTTTTTGTTGTTGTTGCTGAAACCAAGGCTGCAATGGGCCCAAAAAAAATTATATACCAAAAAGTCGCAAAATAAATAATATAAATCTTTACCCAGAAATGCATCATGTTTCTGAAGTTAAATGTGTCAACTAGTAATTTTATTTCATTTCATTTTACTTATTATTATTTTTGGGGGGGGGGGGGGTGTGTTTATATTTTTTCATGCATTCATTAGTTTGCGAAATATAAAAAGTTCAGCAAAGTACAAACGTGCTCTAACAGAAAAAGTGATAAAAAGGAAAAAAGAAACATTTCAGTCCATCTTGGACTTTCTTCGGTGCTTTTCAATTTAAATAAACTGCATAAATAGTTCAAGGCACTAATTGGAGACACCGGATAATTGACCAAATAAGTAAGATACAATAAGTGAATAATGTTAATCCAAGGCACATGCCCTCCGGTCTCATCCGAAGCCAGTTATTTTAGCTGCAACAGTATGTTATTTTGCTTGATATTGCAAACTTTTACTTGTATATTATTTTAATTGGTTTTCGTGATCATAAACACTGGTTTATAGCCCTTTTTTTTTTTCTTTTTTCTTTTTTATCAGCGCTTTTTTAACTGCATTTATTCTCTCGTTATTTACCTTTAGCGGCAAATGTATCGAAAATGAGTCTCTGCACATTAACAGAAAACAGCTTGCTTCTGCATAGCTAATTGGTGCAGGACTTTTTGATAGTTAATTAGTTTTAGTCCATCATAGTGTCCTTTTCTAAGTGTAGGACAACATCTTGTGTGTTGTGTCTGCAGGTGTGCAGTTCATGTGGGACTGCTGCTGTGAGTCGGTGAAGAAGGTGGAGAAGTCCTCTGGCTCCGGCTGTATTCTGGCCCACTGCATGGGTCTGGGCAAAACCCTCCAGGTAACTGCTTTTATGTATTTATTTATTTGGTAACACTTTACAATAAGGTTCATTAGTTAACATCATAATGAACTGCACGTAAATAGCATTTATTAAATCTTTGTTAGTGCTATGCTTTTTCAATATTTACTAATACTTTATTAAAATGTTGTTTACATAAGGTTATGCACAGTGAACTAACATGAACAAACTATAAAAAGCTGTATTTGTATTAACTAACATAAACAAAAACAGTAACACATGTATTGCTTATGGTTAATTCATGTTAGTTAATACATTAACTAATACTTTATTAAAATCTTGTTAACAATAGTTAATGCACTGTGAACAAACAATGAACAGCTGTGTTTTTATATAACTAACATTAATAAACAAAAACAGTAACAAGTATTGCTTATGGTTAGTTAATACATTAAATAATGTTTAATAAATGAACCTTATTGTAAAGTGTTACCATTTATTTTTTTATGCCATCTTGTTATAATACCATGCTATGAACAGCTGTAAATGATTGGTTTCGTGATTACGCTGTGGCTGGAGCACGAGTGACTCTGCTGTTCTCTCGGCGTCCTGCAGGTGGTGACGTTTCTCCACACTCTTCTTCTGTGTGAGAAGCTGAACTTCTCCACAGCTCTGGTGGTGTGTCCTCTCAACACTGTGCTCAACTGGCTCAATGAGTTTGAGAAGTGGCAAGAAGGCCTGAAGGACGAGGAGAGTTTAGAGGTAGAGATTTGGTATTGTATCATGTAGATCTTTCCATTTACTCTTTACCGTTGTTTGTTAATCACACGGGTCCATTTGAAACTCCACACAAAGTATGTTGAAGTAGTGTATAATGAATGTTACAAATAAATAAAAATTTTAATTGAAGAGACAAACGGGCGAGTGACGTATGTATGTATGTGAATCGGGGTAAGACAAAAACACATTTTGGAAGGATTGATGATGTTTTGACTCGATATTTAAAGTTAACAATTGCAAGTAGGGCTGGGTGATATGGCCAAAAAAAATTATCACGATAATTTTTTTATATCAGTCGATATCGATAATTATCACGATAAATGTCAAATCTTTATTTCCTTCAAGTTTAAAGGCAGATTTTTGCTCTTAAGTGAAAGCTGTAGAAACCAGAGCGTTAATTGTGGTTTTAAACTACTCTTTATTGTCAGAACATATCATGACAAACACTTGCCAAACACAAGAACATTTGCCAAACACAAGAACATTTGCCAAATCTGAGGTAAAACATCATTTGTAATTTTTCCTTAACAAAATAAATATCTGAATAGAAACATATATTTCTTAGTTTCTGCATGTGCTAATGTGAGATATAAAGTCTTGAAACAGGTTTGTGTTGCCTGACTTTGATGGCACGTATCTTCAGCACAGTTTACAGTGCAGGCTGAAATATTAATATTAACCTTATGTTTTGTATTGAAACGCATATTTGACAGTGAGTAGACAGTAAATCTGCATCCTAACTCAAGCAAATACTACTATGTTAAATTTATGTTCATTAACAAAAACAGTAACATCTGTTAAAAAAATTTAACTACCACATTTTTATTTGGTAAATTGTAATATTCTGAGTTTTATTAAAATGAACCATTGGTCATCCAGCATCATGCATTTTAGATCACGATAACCACAGATAAAGCCAGGCATAGCCAACAGCACCTCACTATCATGGCAAAATGTAACTTTATGGTATTTGTATGAAAAAAGTAGCCTAAATACATTATTAAATACTGTAATTATATTTCATTAGTCATTTAAAACATTGTCTGCATTAATAATATAATACAATCCAATATGTATATCCCACATTTCATGGTGCACTAACCTTACAGTAAATCCATGGTAAATGGATTCAGTTTATATTCTGACTGTATCACAGTGTTTCTCCTGTTTGTCAGCGGTGTTTCATCTGCCTTTAAACTGGTTTAAATCACTGAGACATTTGTGTTCTTCGCTTTTTCAACTGCTTCTCACTGGATCTCGTGAGCGAGACGATCAGAGTAAACGCGTCTGCTCTAGTGAGCTCGCACTGCCGTTTGGACTTTGAGCCGAGCGGATAAATGGTCCGTGAGACGCGCACGGCTCAAATGAGTTTCGTTCCGCTTTTGGCGCATAAACATTATCAAACATTTATCGAACTCTTGATATCGTTTTATCGAGAAAAATTAAATCGCGATAATTATCGTTATCGTTTTATCGCCCAGCCCTAATTGCAAGTGTTGATGCATTTAACACTGGACAAGGGGCAGAAAATGTGAGTCCTGAATCATTGTTTCAAAGATTACTAAAAGAGCACATTCCTTTTCAATGTTGACATTTAATCTCACCCTATGTCGGTGTCTTTCCCCTCTGTGTTTCAGGTGACGGAGCTGGCCACAGTGAAGAGACCTCAGGAGAGAGCGTACGCTTTACAGCGCTGGCAGGAGGACGGCGGCGTCATGATCATAGGCTACGAGATGTACCGCAACCTCACGCAAGGGCGCAACATCAAGAGCAAGAAGCTGAAGGAAACCTTTCAGAAAACACTAGTTGATCCAGGTGAACTTACTGCATTTATGATAAACCTGGAAATATCAGCTGGTAAAAATGTTCAAATTGGGGATTTTCAGTCCTGGAAAAAATCATTGAAGTGAATAAAACTGACATGCTGCTGTAAAATGTTTAATTTACTCTAAAGTTTTCTGTGTTTTGATGCACAGGTCCGGATTTTGTCATCTGTGATGAGGGTCACATCCTGAAGAACGAAGCGTCTGCCGTCTCCAAAGCCATGAACTCCATCAGGACTCGTCGGCGGGTGGTGCTGACGGGAACGCCACTGCAGAACAACCTCATCGAGTGTAAGTCACTCTTTTTGCTTGTGCTTAAGGGTGCGATTGGTAAAATGACGGTTCAGTACATACCCTTGATTTGAAGTCACAATTCGGCATGTTTTCAGTACAGCAGTTTTTTAAAACTGTGGTTTACTGAACAAACTATGGTTCTGTCTTTACATAAAAATGTCTGTCGTTACTGTTGCAACACTCGTCGTACTGCAGTGCTATTGTGGGAAGTATTTCCACTTTTAGATGCAAAATGTGTGTTTTATTGCACTCCATCTGTTTGGCACGCATGCGTGATCCAGTGATCATTCAGTGAAGTCTGTGAAAGATTTCTAACGTTTAAAGATACGGATTGTAAATGTAATGCACTGAGGAAAACAAGTCTCAAATGCATTAAACGGCACACACATCTTGCATGAGGCCAAGCCGCTTTAAACTGTAGGCTGAATTTGATGTATAATGTATGAACTTGAATATAATATAAAGGACAACTCGGATCATTCACTTTTCTCACAGAAGCTCACTCTGCTGCAAACGCATCTGAAAAATAACAAAATACAGTTTATCAATATCATATATACACTATCGTTCCATTATAAGAGAGAAACAGTTTCAAATGATGTTCATAACACAGAAGTTACGTACAAGCAGTGTTTAAAACAATGCTGTATTTGTATGGTACACATGTGCCGAACCTGAAAGGCCCATACCGAAAATTTGACACTTTTATTTAACATATGGTTATCAGCCAATGCCTTTATCTCAAAATTGCCAAATATCAGCTAACATATCGGTTAGGGGTGAAACGGTACATGTATTCGTAATGAACCGAAACGGTACGGGCGTCACGGTTCGGTGCACGAATTTACACGGAGAATACACGGTATAAAAATAAATAAAACTTGCGTGCAAATTAATTAAAGTAATGCGGAACTACTGTTTGATTCGCGGGTTCTTTAGGGACACATAATCTGTCCTATTCGCTTTGGACTAGCGTCGAACTAGACGCGAATTTGACGCTCTATTCACGTTTGGTGTGACCGCATAATGAACAGGCTGCGATGTCAAGATTGCAATGAATGCTGGAGTGTGTGTGTGCGCGCGAGAGAGAGAGGCGCGAGCGCGATCGAACAGTGGAAACATAAAAAACATACTCCATCATTTCATACAGATCATTAAACCTGCAAAGTGTTTACTTATATTTGTGTACACTCGCAATAAAACACAACATTGTGCTTTTGTCACACTGTAAACTTTTGTCAAACTGTAACCTACAACTGTCACCCAACCAAAATCACACACACACACACACTGTTTTAAAGGCACACTGGAATTTTTGGCCACTAGGGTGCGCTCGACCTGTAATTTTCACGTCTAGTGCCCCTAGAGGCCACAAGCGCCGCAGCATTGTCGCAAAAGTCAACAAACTGTCAACTGGTCAACCTCCAGTGTCTTTATGTGTGTGCAGACGGCATTTGATTTGTATGTTGGAGAAAGTTAATCGATTCACTACTGACCAAAATAATAATATAAATATAAGATTAATAATATAAATCCTATAAAGAAAACAAATTGAATAAAAGTAGCATACGCAGAAAACAATGTCTGATCAGGTAAGTCGCATTGACAAGGGTTGCCCAATCCTGCTCCTGCCGATCGTCTGTCCTGCACAGTTCATCTCCAACCCTAATCAAACACACCTGAAGCAAACAATTAACGTCTTCAGGATCTCTTTGCAATGGGTTGGAGATGAAATCGAGTAGTCGGGAAATCGTGTAACAAAACTGATATAACTCACTACATATTTCTGTTATTTGTAGTCTTCAGTTTGTTTTTCCTTTTACACAAATACAAACATATATGAGCTGAAAGGAAAAAAACATTTACATTTGTATACGGCAGTACGTTGTGACTTATATCCGTTTTGTTACACGAATTCGCAGTAAATATTACATTATATATACACTTTTATGCCGATGTTTATTTTAAACTCTCCCTTTTTCTTTTTTTGGTCTCCTCTGACAAAATCTTTGCTTTCTTCGCTTTCTTCCGAGTGGCTGTTGATTCAGCCATGACGACAACATACAGACGCCGGCAATCAAACGCGAGTTGAGCTCTCACGTTAGAATTTGAGGAAGTTGGGGTTGTGGGGGAAGTGACGTATGCCGTAAAACGGTCGAATTTTGTAGTTCTTTTTGTGCTCGGGTTCCTACCCGAAACCCGAAGTTACATAGTGCTAGTAAAAGCGATACAGACACCTTCAGGCTTCGGCAGACGTGTCATTCAACCTATTGTAAGTCGATGTACCATCTCAATGGGTTTTGGTAATATATTATAAAGGTTGAAAAGTTCCACAGTGTGCCTTTAAAAGCAAAACCTATTTATCTAACTTCATTTCAAAACAGTCTGTGGGTCCCATCATCTTTTGGACATTCATCATATTGCATTGGTTTTCGTTTCTTGTCCTCGGAGTAGGAGCACTAATCTGTTTATTTTCAAGTTACACATTCTACATTGATTAAAAAAGAAAATCGAATGTGTTTTTAATGGTAGTATTATTTTATACAGAAATCAATTATTTATAATTCAGATGAGAATAATGTTACATTGTTAATTAATAATGTTAATTAACATTAAGGAAAACAAATATATTGATCTGAAATACAGCAAATTAATTTTAAATTAATTCAGGTACAATTACCAAACATATCGCAAGGTCTTTTTGTCTTTTTATTAATTTAATTAATAAACTAATTATATTAAACTATTGTCAGTGCACTACAAATAAACTGGTTCTATACCTTTATTAATAAAACTTATTTAAAAAATACAATGCCTTCTGCATTTTTGTTTTGATTTTCCCTCCATTGTACCGAAATCGTACCGAACCGTGACGTCTGAACCGAGGTATGAACCTAACCGTGACTTCTGTGTACCGTTCCACCCCTAATATTGGTAGATCATTAGTCATTAATAGCTTAAAGATTGAGCTTCCAAAGGGCCCTAAAAGTTCATTGCTCCTTGACACCCAGAAATTGTTGCAGATTGGAACCGGTGATTGATTTATGCCTCATGGTCAGTGGTTGATGGTTGTGCCATTATAAATAATTTTTGAGTGTAAAAGTGTCATTTTCTCCCCCCAGATCACTGTATGGTGACCTTCATTAAGGAGAACCTGCTGGGATCAGTGAAAGAGTTCAGAAATCGCTTCATCAACCCCATCCAGAACGGCCAGTGTGCCGACTCCACGCTCGTTGATGTCCGTGTCATGAAGAAACGAGCGCACATCCTCTACGAGATGCTGGCGGGATGTGTCCAAGTAAGCCAAATCACCACAGTCAATGAGGGCTTGAATATTGGGCTTTTATTTATCTTAAGTCATGGTTTTACACAATACCGGTCTATAAATGAGTGAAATATTCAGTGCTTGTTCATGGTGAGCAGACTTTTTAAAATCTGTTCTTGTTTTTGTCACACAGAGAAGAGATTACACTGCCCTTACAAAATTCCTCCCACCAAAACACGAGTATGTGTTAGAGATCCGGTTAACACCCCTTCAGTGCAAGCTTTATCGGTACTATCTGGATCACTTTACAGGTACGACTCTACGTCATTCTGTTTATTGCATGTTTGCTCTTGGTTGTTAAAAGCAACTTGAATTAAAAAATTTCCCTATTTATTATCATAGTAAAAGTCTCTGCATTTGTCAGTGTAAATATTCATAATCTTTTATCATCATGAAATTATTTTCCCACCTCTGAAATGACGTTTCTGCTGATGTGACGGACCACGTGAACCTGAAGAAAAAGTGTCTCAGCCCTACATCTGTTTCCTGCTGAATATTCAGTTTCACTCAAAAATGTTGCATTACGAAAGTTAAATGCGTTTCGTGTTAAGTTTTAATCAAGTCAATTGTGTGATCCTGCTCATAAAGTCTGTCAGCTTAAACCCTGAGTCTCCTGAGGTGAGACCAGCTTTTCCCCACCGGCTCTTCTTTTTTCAATGAAGTGGTGTTATAGTTCAGGCCTCGATTGTTCTGAAGCAGCTCTGCATCTGGGAGAGAAAGAGAAAGGCAGCTGGCACCAGGCCGTGAGGCTATCTGAACAAATTCCCACGTCCTTATCTAATGAAGAGCTTGGGGAGAGTTTCCCAGCCGGAGGCTCATTAGTCCGGCTTTCCTCTGAGCCGCTGCTTTGCTCCTGCGCTGCTGTTGTGACTGTGGGTGCAGACCCCCAGAGACCACCAACCAGACACCGTCTTTCCCTTAATGCTTGTGCTTTTGTCCCGGTGGCCTGCTTTACCCAAACCCTGATCCAATTTCATGCTGCATTTAGGTGAACTCGCATTCAGCGTTTTACACTCGCTGCAGTGTTCACAACACTACAGTCTGTGACAGTGTTTGCGATCCCAGATTTGACAGCAATGACTGTACTCTGGCCCCGTGTCTGCCTGGTATTGGGATGCAAAAATTAGATAAGAAAAATAAGTGCTAGAACATTAATTGTATATCATTTGTCTAAAAAAAAAAAAACATAATTAAACACAATTAGAGCCCTATAAATTACGTTTTTTCCCTTTACATTTGTCCGAATTCTCCAATTTTATTCTTCTGGATTCTGTTTGAATGGTTACATTAAATTTTATTAGGCAAAAATCATATCTAATTAATTGAAATATAAAGCTGATACAATTAAGTTTTTAGGGCTCTAAAATCTGTTTTATTTATTTTTTCAAATTCCATTATTTTTTCTGTATTCAGTTCTTAAAGGTTTAATTAAATATTAATAGTCAAAAAGCGTGTCTAGGCAATTGAATTCTTTAAACTTATTAAAGATTTTTATTAACATTTTTACAATAGTAGGGACCTATGAAATTATTTTTATTCCGATACATTTTTTTCAGAAATTCTGTTAACTTCTTTATTTTTTTATTTAATACAAATTTATAATGAAAAATGGTGGTAATCAAATAATAGGCATAAAACATAAATAGTTCAGGCATAAAACATGAACAATTTAATAATATTTTACATTTTATTCAAATAAACATTTAACAATTCTGTTTATTTTTAGGGCAAACAATGGGATGCTACAGAAGTCCACTTTGAATATTAAAACATTGAAGACATTCGTGTGAATTTTTTTAAATCATTTTTATTATTATTACTTTTAGAAGTACATTCTACTTTGCAGAGTTAATGAACACCAGTAAACTGAAACTCTTTGCAAGCTTTTAGGTTAATTAACTCAAACGAACACATCCTATGAGAATAATCAGATATGTATATGCAGGCAAAATATTACAACTGCACAAAATGACTCAAATGCACAAGTTGAAGTTGTGCTTGTCAGAATGTGTATCTCCTGTTGTGGATGCGCTTCTCCTGTAACAACACACTGAAATATGGACAAAGATTTTTCTCATTATAATGTGATGTATAAGACAGATTGGTGCTGCATCTCTTGCACTTAAACTGTATTTTCATCATCATAGTGATTCCAGGCTTCACTGTAGTGTATGCTTTCAAAGCCATTGCTTCACTTTAGTTCTCCGTCATGCTGTCCTTACGGTAACCAATCAGATCTCAAAGTACCGCACAAAGTGCTGCTATGACCAATCAGGAAAAAGAAAAATAGCTTTTCATTTTAATGAAAGATCATCACTGATTGGTACTCGTGCTCATCCCTAGAACACGGGCTTCAGGCGCTGTGCAATATACAGTATGCTAGTGTTTGTTTTTGAACATAGCAGTCATTTGTTTGTTGCAAAGCCTTTCTTGCAAATAATTATTTGGCTTTGTTTTTTTTCTAAGTATCAGTGTGAAAACAGGCAGCATGAGCCTCTCACAGTCCTAAGAGCTTGTTTACCTGCTCAGTTAATCCTCTGGGCTAATCTGAATGCAGGATTTGGGGTGCTCTGGCATGCTGGGATAGAGTCTGTGGGCACTAAACGTCTAAACCCTCTCAACAGGTGTCGGTTCTGCCTTGGAGAGTGGAAGAGGTCGTGCGGGAACCAAACTCTTCCAGGATTTCCAGATGCTCAGCAGAATCTGGACCCATCCGTGGTGCCTCCAGCTGGACTATATCAGTAAAGAAAACAAGGTGAGGGAATAAAGACAAGCGGACTGCAGACTTCTCTGGAAACACAACCTGAGGGAATTTACTTAACGGAGAACTTTCCCTAATATCATCGCTTTCTGTGCACATGCATGACTCCAGACCCAAAAAATGACTAGGGAGCCGCATGATGTTCTTTAGGCCGCACATTACATGGTTCAAGTGACCCAATCCCGAATTTTTCTTCTCCCGTGTGGCACAGATCGGATATGACCCATGAACGTTTAAGCAAGACAAAAGCACATGGATTCCGATATTCTCTGATCGATTTCAGGCCTCATTTACATTAAATAAATCGGATGCATTTGCATCTGCCATGTAAGTGGACATATCGGATATTGGATTTTTTTTGCTGAATTTTAAAGATCGTGCGGAAAGCAGAAGTTTGTGTTATCATTTCTTCTGTGTCCATTGCAAATCGTGTCATTTTTACTTCCTTTTCAGCCTAAGCTTTTCCGGCTCAGTACATGTATCAAAGGTTGTTTCGCCAAGTGTATTGTGTAAATGCAGATATCGTATATGGGGCTGGTCGGGATATGTAAGCTGGTCGTCTAAAAAAAATTTGATTTAGGCGACATATCGGAATTGGGCATCAAGAGTAAATGCGGCCTTAGTTTCCAAAGAATCACTTTTGTACATGCTCAGGTTCACATTTATATCCCAGGTTTATTGTGCTAAGCCATAGAAAACTAGAAAATCCATTAGTTACAGCATTTAAAGGGATAGTTCACCCAATAACGTCATAAATAACTCGCCCTCATTCCATAAGAGTTTGGTTAATCTTCAAACCGTAACTTAATATATTTACACACTATAAGTTTTTTTTTAAATGAAACCTGGACTGTTTCTGTCCCGCCATTGAAAGTCCAGATAACCAAAACATAGAAGATCCAAAAAGGTGTTTAAAAATGAATCCGTATAAGCGGTTTAATCCAAGTCTTACAGAGAGACACTATCACTTTATATGATGAACAGATTTAATCAGGCTTTTATTTACATAAACAAGGATCGACATATATAGCACATCAAGTATGATGAACACTGAAGCTCAATCTTGCGTGAGAACTAGTGATGTTTGTTCTAGTGCATGACACGCAATAACATCAATGTTTACCATATGTGATTTGCACTATGTATGCGTTAATATGTGAATAAAAGACTAAATTACATCTGTTCATCATATAAAATGATCATATCGCTTCACAAGACTTGGATTAAACTGCTTGATTTATGTGGATTCATTTTAACACCTTTTTTGGATCTTCTAAGTTTTGGTTATTTGGACTTTCAGTGGAGGGACCGAAATCTCTCAGGTTTCATTAATGTGTGTTTCGAAAATGAACAAAAATCCTATCAGTTGGAATGACATGATGATGAGTAAATGTTGACGCACATTTGAACTCTTTACTGCTTTTTTCCCCCTCCATACCAACAGGGATACTTCGACGAGGACAGTATGGAGGAGTTCATAGCCTCGGAGACAGAGGAGTCCTCCATGAGTTTGACCTCTGAAGACGAGAAGCCCAAAAGGTTTGAAATGAGCCCTCACTCTTCCTTAGCAATTGTCCTGTTTCCTATCTCTATTATGACTGATCTGGTTTCCTAAACCCCCATACAGGAAGAAGAAACGAGGCAAAGGAAAAGACAAAGGCTCAGACAAGTCTGACAGTGATGAACTGGAAGTGATTAAGGAGTGGAACACCAGCTCTCGTGGAGGAAACCCTGAGGGGAGGAACCGAGCAGAGCCTGTGGAGGAGGGTATGACTGACACTACCACCTCCTCGGATAGGAGTTTAATGGGTTAATTCACCTACAAAATTTAAATTCTGTCAGTATTTACTCTCCCTCATGTTGTTCCAACCCCGTAAGACTTTCGTTCATCTTCGGAACTAAAATTAGGATATTTTTGATGAAATCTGAGAGCTGTCTCACTCCTCCACAGGCTTCAATGTTATTGAAACTTGCCGGGCCAGAAAAGTTAGGAAAGACATCGTTAAAATAGTTTAAGTGACTACAGTGGCTCAAACATAAGTTTATCAAGCGAGAAGAATACTTTTTGTAACAGCGCAGCGCTTCTGGGTTGTACGTCAGAACGTAGGCTCACTATTGGGCGATGCTGGTCATGCGTGTGATGCTGACCAATAGCGAGCCTACGTTCTGACGTACAACACAGAAGCGCTGCGCTGTTACACTACTTGAACTCACTCGAGGCCAACACAGAAGAAAATGAATAGTTGAATAAAGTCGTTATTTTTTCACACAAAAAGTATTCTCGTCGCTTGATAAACTTAAGGTTGAGCCACTGTCGTCACTTGGACTATTTTAACAATGTCTTTAATAACTGTCTGGGCTGGTAGATATCAATTACCTAGCAGCCTATGGAGGAGTGAGACAGCTCTCAGATTTCATCAAAAATATCTTAATTTGTGTTCCGAAGATGAACGAAAGTCTTACGGGGTTGAAACAACATGAGGGAGAGTAATTACTGACAGCATTTTCATTTTTGGGTGAACTAACCCTTTAGGGTCCTTGCACACTAAGTCCAGAATTTTCGTATGCGTTTTTTCGTATTCGTCATTCGGTGGCTCTGAATTGTCAAAACACCATTCAAACTGTTTGGTACGAATGCTAAAAGCGCAGAAAATCGAACCCGATTTTTTTTTTTACGATGGGCGAAAGTTTCCGAGGCAGTGTGTAAACGTTGACAAAACATGAGGTCGTATTTATTTTTTAACATGCGAAAATTTCGGACGTGAATTTCGGACTTGGTGTGCAATGACCTTTAGGCAGTGTTATTATTACTAATAGTGGTTGATTGACTTTATCACTAGCTATGTTTACATGCACCCTAATAATCCGCTAGTATTAGCGGATTCAATTGGACTGAAAAGCCTTCATGTAAACACCTTACTCGATCCAAATTAAATGAATCGGATTGAAAGGGGTGGTTTATTCCTTTTCTAATCCGATCGAGAGAACAGGTAAACACTTGATCGGATTGAAAACCGAAACTGAAAGGACTGCGCATGTGCAATGACGTTGAAATAGCGTAATGACGTGTGGAACAAGCTGTTGTTCCTGTTGAATAAAGGCATATGAATGAGTGTATGACACTCCTTTCACTCAGCGTCTGTGAAGTGTGAACGTCCCACCAGTTCTTGTTCTTTCGGATTCTCATCCACAGACGACGGTTTCATATGCTCATTGTCTCCAAATTATGACCAGAAATGGATATTAAGTCAGCTGTTTAAAATAAAGAACCAATATAGGAGAATAGTTATGCGCAAACAGTGGGAAACTCTGTTTATTTGTGCAGTGTGTGCATGTCAAAAAATCTATCCCCATTTGAAGCTTGTGACATCAACGCGCACATTAACCAAATCACTTTTTTTAGTGTAGTTTGTCATTAAGATTCATCAATCGAAATGCACATCTTTTGTTTTAATCGGACTGAATTCATGTAAACACAGCCACTGACTGCAACTAATGACCCAGGTGATATATTTTTATACAGGTAGTGTGTTGTGTTAATTTAATTTGTGGAATTGCACGTGTGAACTGTTATCAAACTACTTACAATTCACAATTTTTTAGGAGGAAAAAGTAGTTATTCATTAATATCTTGGTAGATTTTTAACCTGACAAGTCACAATAACTTCTGGTCCCTTTTTTTTTTTTTTTTTTTTTTTTTTTTTTTTTGAAAGTTCGGATCTAAGATCCCTGCCGTGCATGTCGTCTGCAAATATAGTCATAACAGTGTGTATCTGTGTGTTTTCCTCAGTTCGGGCCCCGTCAAACTCCGGTCCTGGCAGCCCATCACCGGACTGGTACAAAGAGTTTGTGACCGAGCCAGATTCAGAGGTGCTGGAGCATTCTGGGAAAATGGTTCTGCTTTTTGAGATCCTCCGCATGGCTGAAGACGTGGAAGATAAAGTGTGAGTTGTGTTTTGTCATAGTCGCATCAGCTTCAGGACTCATTGTCTTCAGTGTCATGTGATCATTTATGTAATGATTGTGTGCTCAGGTTGGTGTTCAGCCAGTCTCTCATTTCTCTGGACCTCATCGAGGATTTTCTGGAGTTGGCAGGCAGAGCCAAAGAGGAAGGGAAAGTTTCACCGTACAAAGGTTAGACATGCTGGTATTTAGTTAATTATTCTCTTTCAGCAATGTTTTCCCTCAGCCTTGAGCACACTGCTTTATAAACTCTTTTGTTTTCAGGGTTAGTTTGACATTTATGCCACTCAAAGTCTGCATGCTTTTCATTCTTAATAATCTCTCTTGCAGTTAATGACAGTATGTTTTATGTACGGTTTTGTGCAGTGTACATCATTTTAAATTCTTACCATGTCATGCACAAGAAATTGTCAATGAGTCAATCCATGTTTCCAAAGAAAACAATTCTCAGGTTTGCTTCTCAGTCTTTCAAAATGTTATGTTGTATGTACAAAATGTAACGACTTTGCCTTTTGACTGATGTCACGTGCTAAGTTGTTATTAAATAGCCATTTAAGCATTATGCCTGTATTTTAGGCATGCTAGTATTTCATATATTTAAATATTAATATACACTAATAGATATAAAAAATAAAAATAAAAAAAAGAAATCACCTCTGGACTTTGTCTTGCCGGTGGGATTATAATATAAACTTCTAATATTGTTTATATTCTTTGTTCCTTATTTATGACTCCATATGGTTTGTACAGTGGCCCATGTGTTTATTAGGAGTTTTCTGTTGTATGTTTATGGCCAATCCTACCGTTTTTATTTGAATTATATTTGCTGTAAATTTAACATTTGATTTTAGCAAATAAAAAAGCAAAGTGAGCACTGATCCAGTGAGTGCAAACTGTGGTTACATGCGAAAACTCATCTTATATTTGCGCACACATCTGACACAGATCTGGGTTAAGTGTCTGCAGAAACGCGCAAATATGCGCATGTAAATATAAAGCCTCTGGAATAAGGTCATGGTCCTAATTAAACCCTCACAGCTGTTTTTACTTTCATTTTGAAAATGATTAGGCCTTTTTTATTTTGCAAAAAAATGTTTGCTTAAGGCTTTGTAATTTGTAATGAAAAGATCACAGAGGAATAATTGGAAACATATTGAAATGTTAGGTATGAACATGAGTGTGGGAGGCCACAATATTAGATGCTGAACACGAGTTCTCTAGACTTTGCCACCTATGTAGGGTGCATACTTTCCCCAGAGCTCTTCATATAAAGCACACACCCTACCAGCGTTCCCACGGGTCTTTGAAATCCTTGAAAGTTTGTGAATCAAAAAAAAAAAAAAAAACTCAAGGCCCTGGAAAGTTTTGGAAAATAAACACACATAGATACAGGTCCTTGAAAGTGCTTGAATTTATTTTGTGTAAGAAGTTTTCTGGAAAAAAATTCCATATTATTCTCTCCTTTCCACTAATGTGTTATTTCGCCAACACTTCATGGCCTATGCATACTAGCTTGCTTGATTTACGTTAGTTACACGCATTTACGCCTTACGTTAAGTGTTTCCCGCGTGAGGTGCTTTGTGTTGTACGTTGCCATGACATTCACGTCCGCAAAACTGTAACAATGTATCTTACAAGGTAACATGATGTAACCTTGTGCTCACTTGAAACGTGTCCCCACATTAAGCCCTTGAATTTGAGGGTGTTGGACCTGGAAAGTCCTTGAATTTGAAGTTAACCAAGGTGTGTGAACCCTGCAGGGCCATGACCACTGCAGAAAACCTTTGCTAGAAATGGCTTGTTGACTGGCTATGCTGTTGTTTCTTTAAGGTGAGGGCAAGTGGTTCAGAAACATTGACTACTACCGCCTGGATGGTTCCACGAACGCCTTGACCAGGAAGAAATGGGCAGAGGAGTTCAATGACACCAGTAATGTTCGGTAAAAACACTTTTCCCTTTGGAGTAGCAAGCAGTGGAACCGTTCCTCAGTTTTCCACTAGTGTCAAGCACTCTTGTTCTCCACAGGGGTCGATTGTTCCTCATCTCAACCAGAGCTGGTTCTCTCGGGATCAACTTGGTAGCTGCAAACAGGGTCATCATTTTTGATGCCTCATGGAACCCATCCTACGACGTTCAGAGTATTTTCAGAGTCTATCGCTTTGGTCAAGTGAAGACTGTGTTTGTCTACAGGTTTTTGGCTCAGGTGAGAAAATAGCTCGATATTTGAATGAGTTTATTTGTTGTGTTCATTTCCATGTAGAAATTCACACGTTTATTTACAGACAGGGCTTTTGTATAGAGCAGGGATGGGCAACTTCGGTCCTGGAGGGCCACTGTCCTACAGAGTTTAGCTTCAACCCTAATCAAACACACATGAACAAGCTAATCAAGGTCTTCAGGATTACTAGAAAGTTACAGGTAGGTGATTTTTTTCAGGGTTGGAGCTAAACTCTGTAGGACAGTGGCCCACCAGGACCGAAGTTGCCCATCCCTGGTATAGAGAGTTAGTTGAGAGACTCAACTAACACCAGTTGGATGATAACACGTTGCTAAGCCAGTAATACTTTTATATGCACTTGTTTTCTGATTCTGCAACAAGCTTGTCCAATATTTCCATCCAAGAGAGCATACAACATTCTGGGATTGCTTTATCTGCGAAGCATCACTGCATCTATTATGGCTACAAATGTTGCCTAATTGGGCCCATTACTTAGTCACTCATCAGATCTGTAATGTTTTTTGTTTCTAAAGGGAACCATGGAGGATAAGATCTATGACCGGCAGGTCACCAAACAGTCGCTGTCCTTCAGAGTTGTTGACCAACAGCAGATTGAACGTCACTTCACGATGAACGAACTGACGGAGCTCTACACATTTGAGCCCGACCTGCTGGACGATCCCTCTGAGAAGAAGAGCAAGCGGGCCACACCCATGTTGCCCAAGGTGAAAACCACTTCATTGTCTCCTTCTCCAACAGAAAACATATTGGTGTTATGTCTCAATTTGTCAAGTCAGATTAATTTGTATAGAGCTTTTCACAATATACACTGTTTCAAAGCAGGTTAATAGAAAATCATGATGCTAATGTTTATAATATCTTCATGCCTTGTAGTCGCGTTTAGCAGATCTACATTTTGCATTGATACAAGCAATCAAGCATTTGCTATATGGCTTTGCATGAGTGTACTGTATGAATGTGAATATCCAACTTTATACTTAAAGCTTGGCGATAATTGTGCGACAATATAAACAATCAAGCAATTTGCATCTGTGCTTTACAGTTGTTGTAACCCCAGTGAGATCTTGTGTTAAAAGTTACAAAATAGTTTTTTTTATGTCAGTCTGTGCTATATACATCTTAGCCAGTCACTGTTGTAAAGTGTGACCAAAGTCTTGGCTGTTTTAAGTCATCAGTGAGCATCCACCCTGACATCCCCATTTAGACACCAAATTAAAAGGATACAGCACATCTCAAATTAGACTTGCAGCTGGACAGAGGAGATAATGGACTGCTTATTCTGAGCAATCTCCAGGTAAATTTGGTAGTATGATTATAATGTGACAGAAACATTAGAAAGCAATCTTTTTTTCAACAAGCAAGTGTCAGTTTTTATCTGAACATCTTTCGCACATACCTTTGTTTCAATTTCTGTGCTCCTAATGGGTCTTCATTAGTCTGTTGTCTGAGCTTGTAGTCTCTGTCTTGAGCTTGATGCATGATTGATCCACGACTAGGGACGAAAGAAATGTTTCTACGATCCCCACAATCAGAGTCATGTGTGCACTCGGGCTGAAGTCGAATGCTCCTGGCCTGTTTTGTTCCATGCACGTTTCCTTTTGATGTTCTCAATGGATGAGACACTGTTATTTACTGGCTTCCAAACCATTCGGCATTTTTATGTTGGATGAGGATTGGAAGAAAAGTACTCTGCTCTTGTCTTAATAGTTTTGTCCCCTTTGTGCACCTGTGCTTAGAAACGCTCAGAGATAATGACAGGAGAGAACCCCTGAAGATTTTACAAGACCACATTGGCCTTCGATTGTGCATCTAATCTTTCACAACAGCTCGCAGCTGCACACAGCTACCTCTTGTGACCCTTGTTTACTGAAGGGCTTTATATTGCAGAACCGGTGATGCTGGGATCCTGTAATTGGAGGCAAAGGCATCTAGTACATGTCAAGTCACCTTTATTTATATAGCGCTTTTTACAATACAGATTGTTTCAAAGCAGCTTTACAGAGATAACAGGAATATAACGCAACAAAGTTTGTTTGCAGAAGAAAATAGCGTCACAGTCCAGCTTAAGTAAGTTCAGTGATGGTACATTTTTGTTGTAATAAATTTAGTTAATATATATATATATATATATATATATATGCCGCTCTGGAGAAAACAGTGATGTCATCGTCCAGCTTAGTTCAGTTCTCATATAATGGTGTCAATCCAGAGGCAGATAAATAATATCGTTGAAAATTAAACTAAATTAAATGCACCAAATGTGTCCAAAGCACACAGGAGCGTATCACAGAAGGGCTATGTTGGCTATACAACCCCCTCATCTCTCCGCTGAAGTCTCCCTGTTCTATCATAAGCTGTAGTTGATGTTTGAGAAGCTTGTTGTTCTTTATCAAGCTTTTAGTCGGAGATGAAGCCCACCCTTTGCACACAGCAGATGTCCACATTTGGCCACATGTGCACCAGAATGTAGCAAGTCAGCTGTTATGGATGGGAATCTGCGGCCTGTAATCGTCTGAAGATGAGTCAGTCATCCCTCAAAGCCTGTAGTCATATTTCTATTTCTCACAATCCCCTCGCCAAGTTTATGGAACACAGGAAATATTTCTAAACTTGGCAGACCTCTACCCATCGCCCTTTTCCTTACCTTGTGCATGTGTCTGTCAATGCCTTGATCCTTTTTTAATAAGCCAAAAGAATATGACATTTGCACTTTTTTGTAACCACTGTTACAAAACCACTTTGGACTGAGAACTAAGAGGTGTTGAACTATTAGCTAATATAATTTGAATAGCTAGGCTACAATTCTATTTGTACATTCTCAGTAACACTTAAAACCTTACAGTGACGACATCATTTTGACAATTTTCAATTAATCGTACATCACAAACTCATTTTAATTACCAAAAGTATAATATTTAGCTGCAGCCTCGCATGCAACCCAGTTACTACATTATCCCCCCCCTCCATTAAATGAATAATAAATAAAATTGTAACACATCATTTGGATTCTTTCTTAAAGAACAGTGGGAAGTAAATTCATTCAACTTTCCCACATTTTAAATGCATTGTAGTGTTTACTGCATTTAATCTCAATCATCATCATCATCATCACTTAATTTATAAAGTGCTTTCACATCAGCAGCAGCTGAACAAAGTGCTGTACATAAAGGCAGCAAAACATCAACCAAGACAAAAATAACAGTCACAATATCATAAAATAATAAACTGGGGTTGAAAATCTACCCAATAAAACTATATCAAAATAAAACAAGAGCAAATACTAGCAGATAGGATCAAGTCTCAGTTTGGGTTGAAGGCCAAAGTGTAGAAGTGAGTTTTAAAAATCGGTATTGAGGAAGCCTGACGAATGGTCAAAGGCATTCCATAATTTAGGAGCACAAACAGAGAAGGCCCTGTCTCCTCTGAGCTTCCGCTTGGATCCGGGGACGACCAGGAGCAACTGGTCAGCCGACCGGAGTGACCGGGAGGGAGTGTAGCGGTTGAGTAGCTGAGTTAAATAAGACGGGGCAAGACCATTTAAAACTTTAAAAGAAAACAAGAGGATTTTAAAATGGACTCTAAAATGCACAGGCAGCCAGTGAAGTGAAGCCAGGACGGGAGTGATGTGTTCTCTCTTTCGGGTTCCAGTCAAAACCCGTGCAGCAGCATTCTGGACTAGCTGCAGACGTGCGAGCAGGGATTGACTGAGTCCAAAATAAAGGGAATTACAGTAATCCAACAGTAAAGAAATAAAGGCATGGATTACGGTTTCTAACTGCTGCCTGGAAAGGAAAGGTTTCACCTTTACCAGCTTCCTTAGATGGAAAAAACTTAATTTGACTGTGGCATTGATTTGGCTATCCAGTTTAAAATCACTGTCCAGTCTAAAACCGAGATTTAAAACTGTCGGTTTAAGATACGAGGCTATAGGACCTAGCTCAACAGGGGGGGGGGGTCTCATATGAGCCACCAGGTCCAAACATTATCACCTCTGTTTTCTTTTCATTAAAATTTAAAAAGTTTAAGGCCATCCATTCTTTAATATCCTCCAGACATGCTAAAAGAGGTGTAATAGAACAGGTGTCGTGTCGCTTTAAGGGTACATAAATCTGGCAGTCGTCTGCATAAAAATGGAAAGAAATACCATGTTTTCTAAGAACAGACCCAAAAGGAAGCAGATACAATGAAAAAAGCAAGGGACGTAAAACTGAACCCTGGGGGACGCCACATGACAGCGGAGCAGCACGGGATTCAAACTCAGCCATTTGAACATGAAATGTTCTGTCAGACAGGTAGGATCTAAACCACTCCAGGACAGTGCCACAGAGGCCTACTTGGTGCTGTAACCTTGAGATTAGAATGCTGCGGTCTACAGTATCAAAGGCAGCGGTAAGGTCCAACAGGACCAGGATTACGTTATTGCTGGAGTCGCACGCCAAGAGGATGTCATTGCAGACCTTCAACAGTGCTGACTCCGTGCTGTGTAGGGTTTTACATCCAGATTGAAAAATTTCAAATAAACCCTGCTCATCAAGAAAAGACTTCAGTAATAAATACACAATTTTCTCCAAGATTTTAGATACAAATGGGAGTTTGGATATTGGCCTAAAATTATTCAGCACAGTAGGATCTAAACCAGGTTTCTTTATCAGGGGTGTCACTACAGCATGCTTAAAGTCTCAATCATTCAAGCCCATTACCAAAAAAAAACAAAAAAAAATGTTACCACTACCAAATATTGTTCGTAATAAAGATGATCCTCGGTGTACAATTTTAGAATTTAACCTAGGATGTTGTTTATATATTTCAGTTGTTGATTTAATAGTTTTTAATTTGGTAAAAGGGCTGGGGAAAAATAGCTCATGAAATAAACATAAAACGTCTAACCACATGTAATAGTTAGCTTGCCTGAGGCAGACATTTACTTGTCCACTGCTAATACGATTTTTGTTTGTTTGTATAAGTATTACACATTAAAATTCAAATGAAACCTGATAGTTAAGTTAACATTTCCTTAAAAGCCTCTAGGATACAGAGTATAAGCAATTCCCTCTGTTATAGTACACTATAAACTTACTCTGATCTAGCGATAGCAAAGCTCCCACCAGTTACTGCCCTGTTACTTTCCCCAGTGTTTCTGGGAACACTCCCCCACCCCCTCTCCATCTAAAGCACACATCCCGCTTCTGAACCTGTGTGCCGTTTCAGCTCACCCAAACATCATACCATCATGAAGGCCATCTGTTACGCTGATTCACTATTTAGTCTCTGAAGTTTTCAAAGGAACGCTGTAAACCTCCCCCGACCTGATGAACAGTCATTATTCCAAACCTCTTTTAGGATGTTCTTGTGCTTTTCAGAGGAACTAATTGGAGACAAAGGAAGCTAGCGGACTTCCACTCTAATGACAAAGAAGAGTGCTTTGGCCCAGACACAAGAGCCACCCAGCTTGGGGTCTGGCCCTGCCTCGGGCTCTTCGGAGGCCCTTTATAGAGCTGAGACCCTTGGGCAGACTCGAGTGACACGGTCGGGTCGGTGTGTGTACACTTCCCAAAAGTGGTCCATCGGTGGGAAAGTGGTAATTTGCTTTCGCTCAGGCTCCCCTGCCGACTGGCTCTCGTTGAGCAAAGGAACAGACTTTAGTTGGGGTAATTAGGTGCAGGAACCGGCCTTAATAAGTCCCCCAGATGTTCCTTAAATGAGTGGTTGCCTTCAACCCTCCATTTTTAGATATTTGCCCCAACTGGGATGAAAGACCTGAAGGTGTGAACTGCAGTGCGTTGTAGAAATTCTCACCTAAAAAGTCCTCCATTTAGTATACAGTTGAAAAGTTGTATAGGAAGATATTCCTGACGGACATCTGACATACGGTCCTGTGCCAAACATCAAGAGCTCTGCAGACGCAGACTGTTTATATCAGGGCACTGAGGTTATGTGTATAATTTGTGTGCAGCTGTAGAGTACGTTTTGCCTGGCTAAGGTTAGGTATTACAAATATCTCAATCCTTCACATTCCTTGAGTCTCTTGCCCCGGACCCCTTGGTTTCTTTGGTTTGTGCACCTGCATGTCAAACGTAGTGTCTTGTGAAATCTGAGGCACGCATTAGACTCTTCACTTTAAAATGCTAGGTAAGATTTTTGTTCGCATGGATGCCCATTTTCAGATCACAAAGGTCAAGTTGCACTTTTTTTTCCCTTCTTTTTTTAAAATCTGAACAGGACATCTATAGTTTAACAAAAACACTTTTCCCGTTTCTTTAGCTGTAGCCTGTCTTACAGTCTAAAAAGCATACAGCAGAAGTTTATAGCTGTGGTAATGAGTGAAATAAAACCGTGTTTGTGAATATGGATTGCATAAGGTGGCATGATCAAAAACCTTGAGAGGCAATTGGGCTGAAATAGCTGTAAATGTGCTGAAAATTTAGTAGGAAGCCAAATGGCAAGAAAAATGACCTTGTGCCTTTGAACCTGATTGCATTTTTCACACCAGCAGCATTCATCTGGGACTGTGTCTTAAGTAAATCGCCTTTTGTTTGCCAAGTCGTAAATGTATGTAGTTGAGCAGAGCTCTTCAAGTTTATTTTAATGTTCTGTTTCACAGGCAGTGATTTGGGAGCCGTGTCTTTGTTTCAGCTTTCTATTTTAGGAAAACCTGTGAGAAACATACTTACTGCTGTCAGCCTTTAATTGATAGCTGTTCAAGCCAATTTATAAAATGTCATGCAGAGAGCAAACAAGCTGTCAAGTAATGCATTAAGAGTGCTACTGTTCAGGCAAAACCGAAGACCATTTTGCCAGAAAGGTCTTTGCATAACAGATTATGAGTAGAACTGGCCAACATGTACGATTGAAATGGTGCACAATTAGACATATGATGCAAGTCGCCCAACGAAAGGTCAATAAATTGTTCATTACTGAATTGTGCCAAGTGCCAAGACACAACCAGTTCTGTCAGTAATATCGATTTACGCTGAAATGTATGTGATTGGTGCAACTTCGAACTCAGTTGCTCAGTGTATCTACATTAAAAATGTTTCTTTTGTCACATTTAAAGCTGGATAGGACACATTTTTTCCAGCTAGTGAGAGAATTACACATTAATAGTTCAAACGAAACTTGTATGTCGGTTTACTCCAAGCTTTGTTATTATTGTCATGGGGGTCAACAATCTGTTTTCAAAAGGATGCATGGACAACAGCACAAAAAATTCAAAGACTCACAAGGAAATGATTTGTGTGTTTGTGAAGTGAAAAGGCGCTGTGTTCAGACACGGGCAGATCGACTGCTCCTCACCTGGGGCTGTATTTATCCTTGCAGAAGTCTGGCTCAAGCACCTCCATGCTTTGATCAAAAGCAAAAAAAAAAGCTTCCTCCCCCCGTTTCACTTCCTGTGGGATCCCAACTCCCAATTTCCCTGAGAAAAGAAAAAAATCTGCAGTCTGCTGATTCCCCCATTCCCCCACCCAACCTATTCCACATCCATGCATGGAGTAAAACGATATCCTTTTCCTAAGCCGTCATTATGCGCGGGGTTAGCTCACATTATGACAATGCAGGAGTTCTTGTTACCGTCATTAGTGCCTTTAGTCGAGATGCACATGTAGGGCAGGTTACGGAGACGGGCGAGACCACCCGCGGAGCTCCAGCCTGGAGATTAATCAGGAATCCCAGAATGCCTTGCTTCACTGTCATTTGACCCAGCGGCTCTGTGACCCATTTACCCGGCGGCTCAAAATTGGACAATGTTCAGATAAGCTCAGGCCCGGGTCGGACCTCTGTGTTTGAAATGTGCTCAAACAACAGCTTCATCATCATCGGGTTGTCTTTCGCTCTGCACACTTTCAACAAGAGGTCATCTTTTCCATTGGGTCTTTTTCACAGTTGTGATGTAGAAGGGGTTTCTCACATGGCAGCATCCAGCCATGTTTTAATTTAGCCACTTAGCCAGAAATTACCATCATAGGCCAGGCCTGGCGTGATTATGCTTGCTTTCGCCACATGTTTTTATTTTCCGGCTATCGAAGCCATTTACCGAAAAGCCTTGATGTGGATGGATCTGTAGCTGCGCTCTCCATTACACTCCGCCGTAATGCAGAAAGCATGGCTCTGTTATTGGTACCTGTCTTACTGCTGTTATCTTTCTTCCTTGAAATAAACCTTGATCTGGTTATTCATGATACGCTCTTCGGAGGATGATTGAGGTTTTCTCACTTCATTCCTTAGATTCGGTTTATCCAAACCTTTTCTGTAGCAATTTAGTAATCAGTCCTACATTTGGCTTTTTCTCTTTGAACGTTAGTCACGATTATGATTAATTTAGTTTTTGTTTAATTTTGTTTGTTGTTGCTGCTGCTCAATCGGGTGACGACGTAACTATAACGCGCGTGTTTTATTCGCATATGGTTGGGATCCAGCAGTACACTGGAGATGTTTCCAGATCTTGAGGACCTTTTTAATGTAAAGGCAAGACAAAGAAAAGCAAACAATAGCTGTAGAGTAATTTTAAACCGTGTTTGTAAGAGGCCTGGATGTGGATTATGCGCCACTCAGGTATTGTTTTCAATAACAGTGTAGTCATGGATACCAGAGTTGCATGCAAGTTATTTTAAATGTCCTATTTTGAACATTTGGCTGGAGGCTGTTTCTTTTTTAATTTTAGCTTTGTAGTGCAAACGAACTGCTGTTTATTTATATTAAAGAGCGTGTGTTATGAAAACATACTGTAACTTTCGGAGCTCAAAACTTGTCCAAAAGTAGACTCGTTATATATGATGTAAAAAAAATGACTCATTCATTTACTTGATGACAAAAAGTACATGACTGTCCACGTGCACTAGTGAGGTAGTGGTGTATATTTTCTTCCATATTGTGATGTAAATCTAAGTGTAACGGATTTTCGAAAAATAAAAAATGTAGGGCGGGACATGGTTCTGGTGCTGGATTGTTGATTGGATGTTGAGATGTGGGCATGGCATTCAAACGAGGTTAAAACAAGAAACATGGACAAATCGTTCACAATAAGATCTATAACTATAATAAATAATAATCTATAACATTTACAAAATAGATGGGGTGAATTTTCAGAAACGTTAATTTATTGTTATAAATGGATTACAAAACACATTGGATCATTTTTCAGATCAGCAAATAGTTCAAAGGCAAGTGAAAAGTGGGTAAAAAAATAAGATCAAACACTAATTACAAGCATGGATAAATGCAATATAACAAAGTTACGAATAAAGTAAAGTTTAACAGTAGTATTCAGGTACAGAAATGATTAAATGGAAAATAACACTGCGTAGTGTTCACTATATAAATTAAATCTAGATGAATCTTTAAGCTGTCTTTTGTTGTTTTGATTAACATAAATGACATAAACAGCAGCAGGTATTTATATTTATAGATTATAGCACAGATGCAATATAATGAGACACATCCAAATTTATTTCTCAACTGTTTACTTTCACTTAGCACATAACCGACTGTGTTTACGTGAATACTAGCCAAGACGTTTAACCCACTAATTGTATGTTTATATCAATAATCGTGGTAAATTATTATCTGTGTGTGTGTGTATTGATGTAGGATGTTGACCCATCTCTTTCTCCTGTCCCAGGATCCTGTCCTTGCAGAACTGCTTCACAGTTACAAAGATCAGATCGTCGGCTACCACGAGCATGACTCTTTGCTGGACCACAAGGAGGAAGAGGCACTGAGTGAGGAAGATCGCAAGGCAGCGTGGACCGAATACGAGGCCGAGAAGACGGTGTGTAGCCACACAAACCCTTTACTGTTATATAAATGTAACGATAAAAGATATCATCTAATACCTGCAGATCAGTCAGCAAATGTGTTAGATTTTAGGCATGTTACTAAGTTGTTGTTTTTTTACTCGTCTATCTGTATCTGTCCATTACTGATAGCAGTTTAAGAATTTTTGGTGAGGTATTATTTCTCTAGTTATGGACTGCAACTCTCAAATAATAATTTATTAAAATTAAAAGTTATATCATCATAGGAAATTAACAAAAAAATGCCCATTTTAGTAATGGACACATTACCATGAGAGAGGTCTAACTGTTTACATATGTGCTTACTAGGGCTGTCAAATTATTAATCACGATTAATCACATCCAAAATAAAAGTTTTTTTACATAATATATGTGGGTGCACTGTGTAAAATTATTTTGTATATATATATATAAATACACACACATGCATGTATATTTAAGAAAAAAATATAATATATAAAATATTCATATTTATATATAATATAAATTATATATAAATCTATATACAGTATATACATGAAAATATTTCTTAAATATATACAAGCATGTGTGTGTATTTATATATATATAAAATAATTATACACAATGCACCCACATATATTATGTAAAAAAAAAAACTTTTATTTTGGATGTGATTAATCACGATTAATCATTTGACAGCCCTAGTGCTTACATAAAAGTTTTCAAAAGTATTGCTCCTTGTAAAAATAAAGCTATTTTTATAGCTACATAAAGGCATTGAGAGCTACCAAAAAGCCTTGTTGCTTGCAAGAGTGGTAACAGTTCTTCCTGAACCCATTGAAGCACAGCTTTCCTGAAGTGTCTAGTTGTTCAGAGGGTCAAATCATAATCATAACCCTTACATAAACATAGTGAAACCTGCTTGTCTGATGGCTGAGAGTCTGTGTCCTTTTATAGCCAGTCCTGGAATCCTTTCTGGGATTCAAACAATCGGAGTCGTTGTCCCCAGTTCAGAGACTCAGGTCAGCCGCTCATTACTGGGAGAGAAATGACTTGTAGCCATGTGGGACTCTGACTCTAGTTGAATTATATCACAAGTGCCTTCTCCTCATTTCTGATTTACTGTAATGTTTCCTTTTCAAAATCAGAACAACATCTAGACTGATTTCCCTCTGGAAACGCTACTTCAAAGATCTTCAAAAACTACTTCAAACTAGAAAAAAAGCTTCTTTTTTCAAGTTCTGCTGAAAGAAGATGAGATGCGATGTAATCGCAAACATTGACATAAATGCACATAGACCTACAGTTAAAAAACCACAGACTGAATCTGCTCCTTTTCATGAGTATTTAAGCAGTAAAAATGACCAAAATGCACATCCCAAGTATTGCAATAAAAAGACCACATGGAAACCGCATACATGGAAAATATCACTGTAATTTTAGTGCCCAACACAGGAGCTGTTATACCTGTGGCTCTCAGCTGTTACACTGAGCATTGAGAGTGCAGACATGAGTTTTGATTTGTGTGTGTGTAATTCATACCATATTGACACGCACATTCAGCTCTACATGTGATCCGTCTCCTAAATTTCATGTTATTTTTTGGCAAGATGTTTTAAATATGCTTGAATCCGAGTAATTTCATCAGTGAATCACTTGGCAAAAGAATTCACCTGCTTTTGATCATCCCGCTACACTACAGTCATTTGTGTATTTTGAGATTGACGAGTTTTGTCTAATTTGGTTGCTGAAAATCATTACCAATGTCAGAGCCGTTAAGGTGGATTTTAAGCAGTCACTTGCAGTGATTAGAGAACCCTATCGAGTTCTGCTCATGATTTAGTTGAAAACAGCCATTCGGTGAGCGTCACATTTTGAAAGCAGATTAAAAGAGCGTCAGTTTAGATGTGTGAGTGTCTGTGGTGCAGCTGTGATCCTCTCTGCCGAACACCTGCCTGTGCCAGGTCTGAACACCGGACACTCAGCCGTGGAGTGTGTTTACGAGCTGCGCGCACCGAAGACCCAATTAGAGAGCGGGATCGGCCGCATCTGCCTCGGTAGTTCATTTACACACAAACACAGCCATCCTGCTGACCTTAGCGAGGGGAACGCTGTGTTTAGAGCCGTAAGACAAACACAGCTTGGGCAGGACCCTAACAGAGGTTCACATGGGTGCACATCAGGATTTTTTGGATCCTCCAGTGATTTATTGGCTATGAATAATAGTTCGCCGTGCGTCTTCGCCAGATCCAAATCATGTCTAAAGTCGCAAATCAAGTGGAAAACACCATTCTAAAAAAAAAAAATTGTGACGCTTTGATTACCCTACAACAGTGTGATGGACTGCTGACGTATCTGTCAGGCCGAACCCGATTTGAAGATCGTTTATAATTGGGATAGTTCTGTGTGACCTCATCTCATTAAATTAACAGATGAGGTACAAGTACAAGGTGCTGAAAGTGCTTGAAGTACTTGCATTTGACTTTTTTAAATTTAAGTCCTGGAAAACCCTTTAAAAAAAAAATATATATATATATATATATATATAGAGGTGCTTGAATTATTGAAGGACTATATATGAAATTAGTGTTTAATTTTTTCTATGAAACAATATTTTCATTCAAAATTAATGTTGCAGCCTGTCTGATAAAGATATAAAGACATTTCGCATGACTACGAATGTGATATTGCTCATATAAATATTCAAGTATATGATACAGCTTTCATTCATCCGGTTGATCATTATTCATGGAAAAAAAATCAGTTTGAAATAAGGAAAGCGGTATCTTTGTCATAGTATCCTTTCAATAGTTAGTGTTGCCACAGTCATTGCATACTTTGCATATGCTGCACTTTATTTGTACCATTTTGTTTTATTAGTATATTTTTATTTATCGGTCTACCTTTTCTTTTTTTTTCTTTTTTTTAAAAGAAAATAAAGGTATTAAGTGAGATCTCTGATTGTATATTCCTTGAAAACCAAACAAAGTAGTGCTTGAAAGTCCTGGAATTAAATTTTTCAGTATCTGTACGAACCCTGAATTAAGTTTGTCTGGTTCTGTTGGACTGATGGACCCGCTCTGCTGTTGTTTCAGGGTCTGTCCATGCGTTTCAACCAGCAGGCCTATGCTCAAATGGGCGTGGGAGCATCAAACTCCTACTTCCCCTTCAACGTGGCCGCCTTGGCCTCCATGAGCAACCAACAGTTGGAGGTAAGTAATGAGCCCCACATGCACGTTTCACATTCCTTCAGCCGGCAGCTAATTGTGACATGCGTCCTCAGGCAGCGACATTTGGCGTCGCGCTCTGCCAGCTGCTATTTATGTATGCTAGTTATCTCTGTGAAAATATCAAATTCAGCGTTTGTTTTAATCTTGCCTAGTGTGTTCTTTGTTTCTTCTCACACTTGATTCTTTCCCTCTCTGCTCAAGGATTTGATTAACCAGGGCAGGCAGAAAGTGTTGGAGGCCACTAGCGCTCTGAAGTCAGTGCCTCGGGAACCACTGGAGGACATCATCGCGCAGGTGGTGAGTGACGGGAGGAGGGCGAGTCGCTGCGTTCAGGCACTTCATCCGAAAGGCTGCACATAAAGGCTCCGATATACTCACGGCAAAGTTATTTTCGTTCCTCTCTGAGGGGTAAAGAGGAGTTTGTATATACCCTATTCCACTCTACAGATAAAGCATTGTGGAAATTTCGTTTCGTGTACCAACCCCGAAGTGATCAAATTAAATTAAATTCCGTATCAAAATTTATAGGTAAGACGAGTAGTTTGTTTAGGTATGGTTTGTAGGGAATTACACACCTGCGCACATATATTCAAACGCACATAACTATAGAATCAACTCTTAATGCGCATGTGAACGCCGTCAGCGTTTATCACAGGTTCAGTTTAAAGTCTGTTTAGAGAGAACGGTGTCGTCTTAGCGGCCCCTAATTTAATAACTAATGATCATTTCCCCGGAAGTGAATCAATCAAAACTAACTTTAGCTGGAAAATAATATTTATTCAAGAACCGCCATAAAACCAAACCGATCTCCGTTACCTTAAATTATATTAAGTTTATCTCTGTAAAGCTGCTTTGAAACAATCTACATCATTAAAAGCGCTATATAAATGAGGATGACTTGACTTGACTATATCCTTAGCGAACATGTTTAGATGTAAATATGCGCTCGCCGCTTTCCTCTCAATAACAAAATAAAAACGCAAGAAAAATCACAGCAGTAAGAAAGCATCTGATCATAGCGACGTGGATATTTTTGTAATTCGGCACTTTATACAAAAGATTGCTTTAAAGCAAGCAGCCTTACAGAATTAAACATTTAAAAAAGTGTCACTAGCTGCGTTTACATGGACAATTATTATCGGATTGACGGCTCAATCGGACTAAAAACCCTTCATGTAAACACCTTCACGATCCGATTGAGCTCGATCCGATTGAGATTTCGATCGGATTGAAAGGGGTGGTTTATTCCTTTTGTAATCTGATCGAGAGAACATGTAAACACTTGATCGGATTGAAAACCGAAACTAAAAGGACTGCGCAAGTGCACTGACGCTGAAATAGCGTAATTACGTATGACGCACGGAACGAGCTGTTCTTCCTGTTGAATAAAGTGAATATAAATGAGTGTTCCGTTATTAAAAAATTCTCGTTTTACTCAGCGTCTGTGAAGTGAAGCAGGACAACGTCCCACCAGTGCTTGTTTCAGATTATCATCCATGGACGACTGGTTTTGGGCGCGGGGTTTTACTGCGTGATCAATATAAGCAGCACAGCAGACTTAATATTTATCCGTCTCCTCTATTGGTTCTTTATTAAAACAAATAAAGAACCAATAGAGGAGAATAGTTATGCGCGAACAGCGGCATATTCGTGCAGTGTGCGCATGTCAAAAAATCTATTCCGATTTGAATCTTGTGACATATAAACGCGCACATCAACCCGATTACTTTATTTATCGTTCATGTAAACACCATGTTCGTATTCATCAATCGGATTGATTTCATTCCGATTGAACCATGTAAACGCAGCTAGTGTCTCTCAGCTTGAAGTGCAACTTCAATTTCTACTATGAAGCGGCTCACCAATGTGTTCATGTTTTTACTCGCGTCTGACCTCGACAGAATGAACAGAAGAAATAAACCGCAACGTCTTTCTATGTCAGAGCCACACCTACTTATTATGTAATCGCCACAAAAGTTTCTAGAAAGTTCACTTTGGCAAGCTGTTTCAAACTCCAGAAACGAACTTGGTTTTGGCCGGATTTTGTTCGAAATGACATCACTCCGCATAAGGTATATCGGGGCCTTAACAGTGCAGGTCCAGGTTTGCTTCTGTAGGCCATTGAGACGGATGCATATCACACTTTCCCTGACAATAGTGAAAATTTATGTTAACATTTGTAAACATATCCAAACCGACTTACATTTTCTTGGCAGTTGGTGTTTGCCGAGGCAAGAACCACTTTGTGGTTAAAAAAAAAAAAACTCTGATATGATAAAACATATCAGTCCATAGACTTACATTGAAGGATGAACTCAAGTCATATTTGGAGACCAGATTATTATAGAGACTTGTGGATGGACTCTTTGTACCTTGCAACCACTTAGAACACCTTAGCAACTGCATTACAAGGAGCCACAACTTGGTGCAAGTCTTGTAGGGGCAAAACCTACACTTTTTTGAGGCTCTTGACTCTGTGGGTTGCTGTGTCATCAGTATTATTAAGCTTGTGTTGGACTGAGTTCTGAGTTCTCACTGCTAAATGTGTTTGTGTGTGTGATTGTGTAAGTGTTTGTTTGTTGAGGTCTACAGGATGTAACAGGTGTGTTGTTTTTGGCAGTGGAAGGAGAATCCGAGTTTACCGGAGGCCCAGGTCCAGTCCATGGCTCTTGGGAGGCAGGCCGGCTACGAGCTGGAAGTCAAACACAGGGAGGCTATTTACCGTGATGTCCTCGGCAAGCAACAAACTGTACGTTTGCTCTCTTCTCAATGTTTCCGTGACATCATCTGCTCTTCTTGTGTTTAAGTGACATGAACGTTTGAACCTAAATAGAATGAAATGGCACTTTTACTACTGGGACACCCTGTGTACCACTTTCCCAGCCTATTTCACATTGCACAGAGGCAACTTGTTTTCTCCATTCGTCAAAAATAGTTAAATATGAGGTGTGAATTAATTTAGGGTCCCTACGAATCCTTAAAAAGTCTCAGTCTTAAAATCAGAGAAAAATTCAGAAAAAAATCTCAATGTTTGATCTAATTTAAGGCTATGAAGAGTCTTAGATGTGCAAGGGCACATGAAGTGTGCCATTTGGGACAAGGGCCTAAATTATAGTGTTGTAATATATCCTAAATGGTTGTATTTGCTCTCCCTCATTGCTTTGAATGAGCAGCTGGCAGTAGTAAATTGTAGGCCTTTCAAAATAAGAGTCCCATTATATTTCAAGCAAGTCCTGAATTATATTTATTATGTTTACCCTGAGGGTACCCATTTACCCTTTTTTTTTACCTTTTATAAAGGGCTTTTTTTTAACCTTATTAAAATGAATGCTTCATCTTTAATTTCAAATTCTTAAAATTGATCAATAAATTTAATTAGAATAATAAGACACTATAAGGCTGTTACCAATGAAATTAAATCACTTACTCTGAAAAAATTACAACTGCATTAAATAATGTTAAGAGATTGTTTTAAATATTTTTTTAAATATACAAATAAGAAATGTTGGAAATAATGGTACTTTTAAACATGAAACTAAACCGCAAGTAGGTGGCGGCAGGTGACCGTCATTAATTCAAACGATTCGTTCAAATGGCAGAATGAGGCAGTTGTGACTTAATATTTACTAGTTTATTGAACCGTTGTATGAAATCAGTCACATTTTCAATCGTGATGGTATTCTGGAAAACGGCACTCTTGGTCGTTTGATGTTTCTTAACTGTATTATATATGTTAACTATAAAAAAAGAATATTTTCCGCAGTATGTTAACAGTTTCTGTGAGTGTTGTTTCCATTTCTCCTCGAGAGGCTGCGTGAGCCTCAACAGCGCAACCTTGTTACCATCATTATACACTATTATCCACCACCAATCGCCACTTACACCATATGTAATAAAAAACAGTCATTCTCTTGGTTTGATAGAAACACGTTATTTTTTTGTTATTGATGTTTTAATCAGGCTTGTCCGAAATTATAATTATTTCACTTGCCCCCTTTCCAAAAAAATCCATTCGTCCCGGACAAGTGTTAATGTCAAGCTCTGCAAATGTAACCAAAGAACGCGTGGTTTGTTTGTGGACGGGTAATGTAGTAGCATAGTCATCGTTCGTTCAGCTCAGAAGAAAAGCCCCAGTTTTGATAATATGATGTTATGATGAACCATATGCCTTTTTCCACTGACTTTCTATGATGTTCAAAGTGTTTCTAATAATGCTGAGATGGCGAACAGGAACATGATTTGTGTGACATTAGCCGCTTTCCGACCGGAGGGACTTTTGCAGTTCCTAGAACCTAACGTTCCTATAACCTTTTTTTTCGCGTGTTCCGACCGGACTAAGTTGGGGATTTTTTAGTTCCTCAGACCGTAGTTCCTATAACTCTTTCAGTACCTAGTCTAGAGCGAGGACTTTTTTAGTTCCCTTTCCTTAGGTCTACGTTGATTGGTTCAACTTATAAGTCACGCCCACTAAGTCACGCCCACTGTCAACACATTTTCTTCACTGTCTGTTGCAAGTTGCAATTCGCCTATGTAGGCTATGCTAACTCATAACTTAAGACAAACATAACGCATTCAACCAGCTAATTGCTAATGCTTGCTAAACTTACCCGTCGTTTTGTTTGCCTCCTGCGCTCTGCTCTTCTATCTTCTTCCATCATATTACTTAAGATCATATTACGCTGGAGCCTTCGTCTTCTGTGTTTCTCTGTACAGAACTCAAGATCTTTAAACGCCGCAGTTCGTACTCCGTTATTAAGGTCCCGGCAAGGCAGAACAGGAACATTCCGATAGCCTCCTCCACGCTGGTTTGTTGTTGTTGTATGTGGCGCCGCCGCCGTGCTTGCGTCACTCCCTTACCCCTCCTACCAGTTCCTATGGCCACTTGGCCAGTGCGAACGCAAACAGCAAAACCGAATTTGGGGGAGAGTAGTTCTTAGAACTGTTTAGAAGTGGACAGTTCCTATAACTAAGTTCCTGTAACTACTTGGTCGGAAAGCGGCTATTAGCAACACTTTATTAGCTGTTTGGTAACGTAGTCAAGCCTAAACCTAATCATATTAATTACAGTTATGTGTCTGACGTTATCAAGAGCTTTGTTTTATGTATCGCTCTCTGCATAGCATGACTTGCTTAACAAATGAGTAACATCCAGTCCCGGTCTCCCTCCAGCTGATGATGTACGTGCAGAAGGTGGTGGCCAACCGTAAGGTGCAGGAGCAGCAGATGGCCCTGGCGAGACAGGGGATGCTCCTCAACCAGCTGGCCATGCAGAACGGCCTCTCGGCCCCCATGAACCAGATGGACCTGCTGGGCTTGTACCAGCAGCTCGGGGCGCTCCAGGGCCTGCCCTCCTCTCAGCTGGGCAAGAACCCGGGCCCGTCCAAGGGCCTGTAGACGAGGCCTCGCTGAACACACAGCTGGACTGACACAGCCAGGACACCTACGTGAGCTCCTCGCCCATGACAAAAGGGCACCCTGGGACTTTGTTTAAGGGGTTTTTGGCAGTGCAGTTTGTCATTTTGTGTATATAGCCTTAATGTTATTCAAGATCTTTTTTTTTCTTTCTCTCACGTATTTAAAGATTAAAGAAGATATTCTCCCCCAAATGCTTTTAGGCATTGCAAGTTTTTTTGTTTTCCCTTGAAATAAGGGCTGTGCATATATGAATAATTATATTGCAAGGAAAACGGCGTGATTGAAGAGGGACCATAGCGGTTCTGTTCAATAACCATAGACAAGATTTCACCCCGTAAAAACTCTCAGCGTTAATATCTTCCTAGTAGTGGATTGTCATCGGTACTGTGATAGCCAGTGCGCCAGAGACACTGCAGCGGACACCTTAAATGTAACGTCAAATCAAATGGCCTTATATCAAGCAGCTAGATCTCTTCTAACGTTTTAAAACCCCCTTTTCTAATCTGCTTTTAGGTATTTAAAATCGTTGTTGCTAATCATGCTATGGAATGTCTGTGTTGTTAAAACTGCTTGCTGAATTCCTCCGGACTTTTGTAACATCAAACTTCTCGTTGTAGTGTTGCCTAGCATATTGTTGTGAGTACTGTTCATAATTTCTCTTTCTGTTGTTTATTTTATTTTTAATTTTTTGTTTTGTTTTTTCTGTTTCTCTCCCCGCTTGGTTTGGGTTTGTGCCCGAGTTGGCGTCTGGAAGGTGTTGGGTACATGTTTGTGTGGTTTAACCTGTTCTGATGATGATGATGAAATGATAATGCCTAACACTTTCCTTAGGTTAGTGCTAGGGCTGTATTGATCTGTTCTTGGGCACATCTCCACTTCGGATACTAAATTAGATGTTTTTCATTGGCAAACATAAGCCCTTTGATATCCACAGGGTGTCGTTCAGAAATGTAGAGGAACTTTTTTCCCTGCTGAAAATGTTCAAATGTTAGCATATACACCAACAGTTTCTGCCATTAATATGATCTGCTACTTAGTATTTAATATCACATTTAAATAAAGTGACCAAAAGGATGTTACATTCAGGTCTTGCTTGTGGGTTGTCGTTTTTTTTTTTTTGCTGCGGTGGGCAATTTCTGCACTACCTTGGTTGGGCACAATGAATTAGCAAAAATGATGGTCTGTGAAAACCTAGTATTTCCTAAATGTTCCTTAGGTTGAATATAAATCATTCTAGATTTTTTTTTGTCATGAAAAAAAATTCTCTGCAATTGCAATAGCTATTATTAAAATGGATCTAATGATCATGACGACAACGAAAGTCTTAAAAATGTGTAGGTGTGGATGATGTGGGAACCCTGAAATATTTGAAAAGTCCCCCTGTGGTGAAAATCAAGCGTTTAATGTCGTTTATATGTGTCTATGTGGTGTTTTTAATATGCTTTAAGACAAACCATGTGCAGATTCATAAGTCGACAGCATTGCTGAGTATTTTATCCTTAAAACTGCAGTGAACCAAAGACACGGTTTGAAATCGCTGGTGTTTCTGACGTCACAAACGACCTTGTAACCAATCAGATCAACGTGCCGGCGGGCTTTAGCATATCATTAACAGCTAACTAGCAGGGGAGTCTCGAGAGATGCCAGGTTATCCCGATGTATTTTTCTGTTGATACTGTATGAAAAATCGGGTACATTTAGCAATATAACAGGTGAATTATGTATAGAGTATATTATGTTATGAACTTTATGGCTTTGTCCACTGAGATGGTGAATGGTACATAGTTTGTGTGACATTAGTTGTGTCCAACGTTGTAGAGTGATACATAAAACGCTTTACCATTCTGATACATCGACTTGTAGACGAGCCTACACGAGTGAGTGGAGGCGGGGCTCATTTACATGTACTATGGGTCACTTATACTAAAAGAAGCAAGGGTGTCGAGTTACATTCAAGCTATTTTAAGGCATGAATAATTTTTTACAGGAAAACATGTTATTTTGGTGAAACATTTTAAACTTTTAGATCCATCTGCAATCCGCCACGTCGAACGTATCCGCCATCTTGGAACAGTTAACATGAGACTGTTCTTCACTCACACTAACAAATCAATACATTTTCATTGTAAATATCTCTACATTGTGCAGCCTATGGCTGTAAAAACCACTGAGCTGATGAACTATAACCTCTCAGAGGTGAAAATGTGCTGGTTTGGGTTTTTATGTATTACTCAATATGCAATATCCATTTTCAGAATCATCACAATAATGTTAAACTAAATGCTGTGGAAACCATCTCAATGTCTATCTATATAGATATTCTTACATGTAAATGTATATGGGTTGCAGATGCACAGTCAACTTGCTCTTGAGTGTCACAGACTGGATTTGACCGTCCCGATATGGCGGCCAGCTAACGTATAGCAGCCCATAGTGCAGGGGTAGGCAAGTTCGGTCCTAGAGCCGCTGTCCTGCAGAGTTTGGCTCCAACACTGAAAAAAACCTCTCCCGCCTATAGCCTTAGTAATCCTGAAGACATTGATTAGCTTGTTCAGGTGTGTTTGATTAGGGTTGGAACTAAATTCTGCAGGACAGCGGCTCTCTAGGACCGAACTTGCCTACCCCTTCCATAGTGTATAGTATAGTTGCAGCTGTCACTTGATTGACTGCAAAATTGGGTGCTTGGGTGGTAATAATCAAAATGAACACACACAAACTATATATATATATATATATATATATATATACACACACACACAGTATATTGGCCATCTTGAATTTTAGACATTGGTTTTAAGGGAAGTAAAGGAGCTTATTTTTGGGACAGATGTATACTGGCTAAACCAGGGCTCTTTAATTGCAGTCCTGCAGAGTTTAGGTCCAACCCAAATTCAACACACCTGAACAAGCTAATCGAGGTGTTCGGGACTACTAGAAAGGCACAGGCAGGTGTGTTTGAGAGGAGGAGCCCTGCACTCGACGTGCCACACCCGTCCCATGACTGCAGCAATGCAGTTGACAGTCAAATATCTTCTGTGAATGAGTAAACGGATGAGACCGTACTGAATGAGCACAATAGCACATTTCAGATGCGCTTTCTCTAGACAGCTGTTTTCACACCCTGAGAAGCCTTCGCCTCTCGTACACCCCGATCTACCCCTTCAGTCTTTCATCTGCTGTCTTTTCTACTGCTTGCTATTATTTTCATTTCTTTAGCAGCCAGGTTTTTTTTTTCTCCCCCCTCTTTTCCATTGGCCCCCTCAAGCCCACGTCTCCCTCCCGAGGGGAGCTTGCATTCACAGCTTGCAGAAAGCTGCCAAAAGGGAAACATTACAACTATTGCAGATGTTGAAATGTTGATCCCATCCTTGGTATGCCCAGATTACCACTCGGCTAACTTTGCAGCACCATGCGGGCAGCTGTTCCCCAATGTTAAAACCTCCTTCCGTTCACATGAATATGCAGCATACGCTTCGTATCTGAAAGTATTAGAGCGTGTTGGCAGCAAGGCTAACAATTGATCATCTGAGCGGAGCTGAGCCAAGGATGTTGTCAGGCATCGGTGATGGGTGGGGTTGTGAATGTTTGTTAGTTCCATCCAAATTGTTCTTTTCTGATTATAAGGGTCGACTGAAACCCTATATAGTCCATTCAGCGCAACATCAGTGCTAGTCCAAATCTTCATGGGAGTCATTCACAATGGGAGTTTTGTGTTGCTGTGATTTACAAAGCATCGGATTAATCATAAATAAAAAACAAACAGTTCTAGGCACGTTATCATTAATATTGCTGTGGTGCCGACTTTTCAACAGGTTTGACGCCCACCAATGCAACACATTCTCTTGTATTGTTTCGCTTTCTGTAGGGCGTTGATTTATGCCTCTACAGACTGCTTAGGGAAAACTTTCCCACAGGTTTCCTGAGCCAAGAGCTGTCTTTTTACATCATCAGCTAACATCCACGTCTCTGGAGAGCTGGATTATTCTGTGAATGCTGCTGTGATGTTCTGGAATTTACGCTGTACTAGATTGCAACATTGATCGACTCCCGCTAGTGTGCTGAACACCCCTGACATGAAGGTATCAAATGTGTTGTACTTTGAAGACAACATGAAATCAGAATTCACTCTACCTACTTGACGACATGTTTGTCTTTGTAATCTTTCAGCAAAACATAACTTGCTCCTCCTCTGATGAAATGCCACACACAGTTTTACTTGCAAAACGGATGACATAATAGATAGAAGTACAATGGTTTGTGAATGCCGTATCATGTTGACTAGATACGGCTAGTGATCTCATAGTGCCTTAAAACTGTGAGAAAAGTGGTGTTTAAAGGGATAGTTCGGCCAAAAATGATATTTAACCCATGCATTACTCACCCTCAAGCCGTTCGAGGTGCATATGTCAATCTTGTTTCAGACGAACACATTTTCAGTTATTTTAGAAAATGTCTTAGACCCTTCAGTGGATATAATGTGAAGCAATGGGGTCCACCACCTTCAAGTCCCAAAATGTGCATACATCCTTCACAAAAGTAATCCATCCGGCTCCAGGGGGATAAACGAATGCCTTCTGAGGGTAATCCGTGCGGTTTTGTCGTAAAAGTATACATATTTAAAACGTTATAAATGAAAATATCGGACTTCCGGCAACGATCGACGCGCGTTCACGGGTGATTTGTTTTGCTCTGCTCTCTGGCTGCGCTGGCGCGTTCGTTCTACGTCACGCCGGTTCCTACGCTACGTCATACCTCGTACGCCGACTTCCATCACCCGTGAACGCGCGTCGATCGTTGCCGGAAGTCAGATATTTTCATTTATAACGTTTTAAATATGTATATTTAAATGTCTCCCCCTGGAGCCGGATGGATTACTTTTGTGAAGGATGTATGCACATTTTGGGACTTGAAGGTGGTGGACCCCATTGCTTCACATTATATCCACTGAAGGGTCTAAGACATTTTCTAAAATAACTGAAAATGTGTTCGTCTGAAACAAGATTGACATATGCATCTCGAATGGCTTGAGGGTGAGTAATGCATGGGTTAAATATCATTTTTGGCCGAACTATCCCTTTAATAGCAAAAATGACCATTCAAGCTAGAATGGTGCCCTCGTTTAATGCTTAACTGAAGCTAAACCATCATAGAAGTCAAACTCAATCAGCTCAGTGTTTCTCAGATTTTAATTGGTACAGAGAATCCTTGCAAATATGGTCAATGACAATAAACAATAGCAGGACAATTTTATTGTCAGTCATTCAGATCAAATGGTTTAGCCCTTCTGTATATTTCAGTAGAATCTACAGTTCCAATAACTTCAAGTTCATTACAAAATAGAGCCTTTGAAATAAATAAATAGATTTATATATAGATTTATAATTATACTTTATATGTTGAAAATAAATATTTTGTACATCTTATAAATAGGTTTGTCCATATTTACATGTCTTTCACTTACATTTTAGTAATGTTCCTGACAACCTGAACATTATAAGTCACTCTTTGTCAAATGACCAAAGCCTCTACCGAACCCTTCAGGAAGCAGCATGCATTTTCTCCGCTTGCTTTGAAAGTGGTTAGTTGTGTTTGCTGTTTCTACCAAATTTGTACGGTTTGACCTCTCCCGAACCTTCAAAAGAAGCAGACAGAAGACGTAAAGATAACGATCTATGTAAGCCTCTCTAATGTTTTACATGAAGAAAATGGTGTTTGTTTCCATTATTATAAAGCCTTAATAGTTTTTTCCACAATCTCACAATTTATCCGTTCAAAATTGATATTGTTTCAGTAGAAGCTGGTCACTGTTCTTCAAAGCGTCTTTCTCTTTTTAAGTGCCCTTAATGCTATATTTAATTTGAAAAGCTCTTGCTTTGCATTCGTCCTACAGGGAAGTCGGGGTAACTCCCCGTGTCCATCTTCTTGCTAAGTGCCGCGTCATGACCTTTCAACGTGAGATCCGCCCCAGAGTTTTATGTTTACAGTCACAGGTGGTTTGACTTCCTGTGCTCAGTTGCTCAATAAATTTAGTTTTAGACCATAGTTTTTTTTTTTCCAGTGAGAAAATGGCCAAAATGTGGTTCACTTTACAAAAAGTGTGGCTCACACAATGACTGTCTGAAGAAAGGTCGATTGTATGACACACGTGATGAGGCCCTGAAGTCAACACCTCTTCCTCAAGACATCTTTTGGCTCCAGCTTTTGATGCAGGAATGTTCCCTCTTCTCTGTGGTTTAAAAACCATTAAGAAGAGGAAACGGAGCCATCCAGGACACACACGTACTGTTTATCTCAATCACCATTGGAGAGGGCCTCCTCATTTTGGACCAGAACCCAAATATAAACAGCTGTGAGGCGAGAGAAGTAGGGTCTTGTATTTCTTAATGTTCTACAGAATCCGTCTTTCCCTATCAAGCAACTCTCCAACACAGCGACTCCGATGGATGCTCTGGTCACCTGTGCTGGAACAAGTCTCTGTAAGCTTGGGGTATCTTCTCGATTTCAACAGGTCTGGGGAGGAAGTGAGTCAACTTCTGATGCTTTTTAGTCCTGCCGCCTTCTCGAGGCGAGCCGTCCTTGTTCAGAGCCACGTAATAGTATCTCCCAGTGTCTGTGTGCTTGTAGAGTGTAGACGCATATGTGTTGTACCAGTTCTCCTCGAATTGCTCACGGAACACACACTCTGCTGTCAGCTTCTTCTGCAAGGCAGCCGGAAAGAGACAAAAACATTGTTTCGATTATCTGGATATGGTCAGTTACAGTAGCATTTAGTGTTGTCAAAAAGTACCGACTTTGCTGCCAAGTCAGTATTTAAATTTTAAAATTGTGATGCTTTGAGCGCTGTTGAGCGGAATCGTCAACTCCTCCACAACTGGCCGTTGTGTTCACGCGCTCATCGGATTTGTCTGTGATTGGCTACAATGATCAGCGCACGGAAGTGTTTTGAAAGTGGGAACGGGAGCGTTTGAAAGCACAAGCAGGCGTCTATCAGAGCACCGGTCCACTGATAGACGCCTGCTTTCAAATGCTCCCGTCTGTATCTGTGTAAGCCAGGGGTGCCCAACCCTGCTCCTGCCGATCGACTGTCCTGCACAGTTTATCTCCAACCCTAATTAAACACACCTGCCTTTAATTTTCAAGTGATCCTGAAGACCTTAATTGGTTGCTTCAGATCCTGAATACCTTAATTGGTTGCTTCAGGTGTGTTTGATTAGGGTTGGAGATGAACTGTGCAGGACAGTCGATCGGCAGGAGCAGGGTTGGGCACACCTGGTGTAAGCGCTTGGTGAAGAGCGTCATTGATGTGTATTTACAACATGTTTTTGAAGCGCTGATCATTGTAGCCAATCACAGACAAATCCGATGAGCGCGTGAACACAATGGCCAATCAGAGGTGTTTATGATTCCGCTCAAAGCGTCACAATTTTTAAATTTCAGTACCGACTTGGTACCGAAGTAGGTACTTTTTGACAACTCCAGTAGCATTATTGAAAAGATCCATGATAAATGAGCTTCGCCTAAAACAGTGGTGTCCAGTCCTTAAGGGTCACCTGGCTACAGAGTTTAGCTTCAACCCCAATTAAACACGCCTCAACCTACTAATCAAGACCTTCAGGATTGAAGCTAAACACTGCAGGAAGGATGGCTTCTTCAAGGAGCAGGATTAGACACCCCTGAGCAACAAAAGCTTTTAGAGACAAGGTTTAAGATGTGAAATTAAATGGAAAATTGTTTTTTTTGTCCTGACCCAATCATAAATATCCTAACCAAAACATCCTATGGTGTGATATCTAGCTGGAAATCTTTGCTCTGTCCTTCAAGAGTCCAGTGTAAGTGCATTTGACCACATGTTTAAGAACTAAAATCCGCCTCCCATTTCCAGACCTCCAGATGCGCTGGAAAGCATGAGGGTGTGAAGACGTGGTACTGTTTCTTTCTCACAGTGCACAGTTTACCCTTGTCACCATCGCAAAATGTGTGGAGTGGAAACTATCTTGAGGCCAGACGGCAGGTGCTCGCTGCACCAGAGAAGGGAAAGTCATTATGGGCAAGCTTTGCAGTTTACACCCAAAATCATTCTTCAAAACTGCTAACCTTTTTGTCTGCTTCCCCCATGATGCAACAAGCTCTCTCGCACAAACACGGCAGCTTGAGAGAGTCTGTGTGGGCTGCTACTACTACACCACTGACAGAACTCCATGAGCAATGACTTCGGGTTAAGCAGGTGAACATTTGCTGGCTGACTACACTGCCGAGAACAATAGAAGACACTGGGGCTACATCATGTTTCCTGCCAAAGAACAGTCATGCAATGGGCCAGGTTCAAGTCCTGGTGTCAAGACAATACATTTAAAAAAACTTTTTTTTAAGATAAAGTCAACTTTAAAAGTTCTGTTAAATCGTTTAAACAGTTGGGCCATGTGAATAGAATACGAACGTTGTTGTTGTTTTTTTTAAGGTAAAAATGCAAATTATGAATATATGGCTGCTTAATTTTAGAAGTAAAGCAATTTGGAGTAAATACTGCTCCATGCACGGGATTTACCCAATGTCTTAAAGGAGTAGTTCACTTCAGAATGAAAATTTCCTGATAATTTACTCACTCCCACGTCATCCAAGATGTTCATGTCTTTCTTTCTTCAGTCGAAAAGAAATTAAGGTTTTTGAGGAAAACATTCCAGGATTTTTCTCCATATAGTGACTTCAACGGGAACCAACGGGTCGAAGGTCCAAATGTGAGTTTCAGTGCAGCTTCAAAGTCTCAAAACGATCCCAGCCGAGGAATAAGAGTCTAATCTAGACAAACTAGCGGTCATTTTCTAAAAAACTAATAAAATTGGTATACTTTTTAACCACAGATGCTCGTCTTGCACTGCATTGAAACTGCAATTCGGACCTTCAACCCGTTGGTTCCCGTTGAAGTCCACTATATGGAAAAAAAATCATGGAATGTTTTCCTCACAAACCTTGATTTCTTTTCGACTGAAGAAAGAAAGACATGAACATCTTGGATGACGTGGGGGTGAGGAAATAATCAGGAAATTTAAATTCTGAAGTGAACTACTCCTTTAATGCAAACTGTCTCCTTGATCATACTGCAACAGAAATGGACCCGCATTTAAATCTGCGCAGTAAACCTAGGCCTGAGTCTTCAGGTGATTTGCAGTGCGATTGCATGCTGACATTCATTTACAGTCTGATTTAATGGGATGTTATCGCATTACATGTGAAGTCATCTCTTCTTGCTTTAAATAGGTTTGTTTTAACTCAGGGTCCACAGAAACTGACTGGGGCCCCCGCTTATTGTCTCTGGAAATCTGATAGCTTGTTTCTCCCGCATGCATGGCAAAGTCTGCAGAGGGGGAGGCCAGGCGCATTTTCCTATATATGGTTCTCTATGCTAGCATGCAAAAAGTCAGTCAAATCCCGGCAACATGCCTTTATCTCCTGGTCTCCGTTACAATCAGCACTCCAGCAGAGAAAAGCATGGTCCTCGCGCAACACGCAAGAGACCAAGAGCTCTCAGCTCGTATATCCACGATATGTGGGTGTGTATACGTTATGCGCTTCATGTGTTCCTGGAAAATATGTAAATATTTTAAGTATGGAGCGAAATGAAGAGGCAGTTTTTCTTCTCTGAGATTGAACGCTCTGTCTGAGAGCTTGTTCTTATGTGGAAAGTTACAAAGACAAAAAACAAGGTGAGCCACACGGGCTACAGACCTCGCTGTTACCCACTGATCAGAGGTCAGGGCTTGCAGCAGTGGAAACACTGCTTGTTTTGTCTGGTTAAGTGTTTTTTTCTTTTTATTATTGTACATCTACATCATATGGGGAACAGACTATGAGCTGGTGGGTGGGTTGTCGTTCGCTCCTCATTCCAGCTTTGACTGCATTCCTATTGAAACACTTCATAGAGCAGAACCTTCTGTTGGTGGATGTTGTTTGGAGTGTGTGTGAGCACTACAGGGGTTTGACTTACCGACCCATAGAGTTCACCTTTCTCATTCATCCCCAGATAAAGACCAGCATCCACGCCTCGTATGCTCACCAGCCCGACGGCCAGACTGATAAACTCCAGAATACCTGCCAGACAACAACACTCGTCAGACATTGACCAGACACCTTTACAACTGCAGCACAGCTGTACGTCAACGGTGCTGTATATGCGAGAGTCTTTCAAGTAAGAGAGCTTTTTCCCAACTTAAACCAGCCTAAGTTGTAGCTGCTGGCCAAAGCTGGTGGTTAGCTGGTTAGCCAACTGGTCTCTCAGTCTGACGAGCTGACAAACATCCAAAACCCCTCTTTAACCACCGAAGCACACCAGCCTAACCAACCTGGCCAGGCCACCAATGCTATCACATTTGACTGGTTTATGTTTTTGCTTTTATTGTTTTCCATCAAGAATAACTGATGTTTAAACTCATCTCTACTTTGAGAATTTGGTATTTAAAAGATGGCAGTTTTCTCACCTCACAAGTAAGCTTTTGGCAGACTACCATCTAAAAAATGTGGCACAATCTAAAAATAACCTAAAGGACAGGAAATTAAAGTCTTGTTACCAACACTTTGATCATAGAGCGTGTGCACAACTCAAAAGTCAATAGTCTCTGAAATGTTTGTTGAAGCTCTTGCTTGAATTTGATTTTGCTGACTTTTGAAATACATTTTCTTATACAAATCAATATTGTTTAAGTTATCTGCATCCACGGTGCCTTCGTGTCAATTTTCAGGATGTGAGCCCAAACCAGCTGTTCACACGCTCTTGATTAAAGACTAAAGCAAAAACTACACCTTTGTGGCCTTTTACCACCACCTGGACCGAGTGTGTTGTGATTTGGATGCCAAACGACGACACAGAAAACTCTCTGAAGCTGGGTTAAGCAGAAGCACATTTCATATGCGTTTAATCAAAGACACTGCCAGCTTGCAACATTACCGACAAACGGCTCGCATTTGCCAGAAGGATGCCAGAAACATGACCACGGACCACCCAATCCAGTAAAGCAGCTTGTCTCGGCCTAAAAACAAGCATTACCACTGGATTCCACAGTGGTCATGCTTTAATTTAGAGCTATTCCTGTTTTCTAAGCGAGGGCTGCACCTGCACAATGATTACGGATCACAGCAATGCAAAAAATTCTTGTGTCTGGGCTCTGCTATCATTTGTTTATCATTGTAATACCAAGAACTCCTTGACTGATTTATTAGTGCTGTAATTAGTAGTGTCTGTGCCTGCGTCGGCCGGGGTCCTTTGAACACGTTTTCGGAGAAAAACAGCCTCATGCTGTGAGCTTGTTTTCCACCGCAGAGGAGCACCTGCGTCCCTTGACCCTGCGCTGGAGTTCGCCGAGGGCAATTCCAGTGTACGACTGAGATATGCTGCTCTCGTCTACAGGCGGATTGATATACAGTGGTCCCAAAACAAAATATCAAAGTGTCATCTGCTCTCCAATGCTCTTCCAGCTTTCCTTAAAATAGCATTTCTGAGTCCTTTTGCAATCTTTTTTAATCTGGTGTTTTGGTGATTTTTAGTGGTTTCACAATCACAAATTTCCATCTCAATTTTCGACACTATTTCTTGTTTTAGTATTTTAAATCTAACAAACATCTTCTTTAATGATTCGTGCGAAAAGGTTTCTTGTGCTATATTTCTTTACTATAAATGACTCTTGGTTATTTTGTTATGTAATGCTCTACACTTGTGTAATGATCCTGTAATTCCTATACATTAAGTGTGCCTTAACTGTTCAAGCACTTTTAGGGGACACTGTATATGGGCTGTAGATTCTGACATGGGACGTGTGACCCCCAAAGCATTATCAATACTGTAAAGAAACTTTCCTTCTTGTACTCCCTAACCGCAGATCTACAGCTTCACTTGAAATCTACTCCGCTGAATTCTGCCCAAGTTATGCGTACAAGTTTTGTCTTGTGCATGCAAAATGACAGAAACTCCTGACAGCCAGATCTGCTAAATATAACATTTCAAAATGTTTGTTCTGAACTTCATAGTGAAGAAGCAGTTCATTTTAAGATTTCTCATGAAGTGGAGTTTTCCTTTCCTTCACAATGACTGACAGCATTTGATTGACTGATCATTCGCTCACTGAATCAGGAGGGACGCGCAGCATTTTTAAACATTATAAACAGGTGCAGTTATGTCACTAATTAAGTAATGTCTTTAATGACGAATTTTATGAGTGTAATCCAAGTTTAATTGTTATATTATTGGCATTTTGTGTACATTTGTGTGTGTGGCCAACATGTGTCTGTGTGTATACCTGCTTAACCATCTTTTGCCCATGTGTACCCAGACGTGAGCTAAACCTGACAATCTCTCAAAACCTCATTTGTAAAAACAAAGTAAATACAGGTTTTTTTAATGTAAATATGCATAAAGTTTTCAGATAGGGTTAGATTATAGTATTTATAACTATAGCTGTGTATATATATATATATATATATATATATATATATATATAAGCATAAGTCTGTGTAAATATCAGCATTATGTTTTTCCTTAATAAACAGATTAAAGTGCCCTGATCTTGTAGAAAGTCTTGTCTTGCTACATGTAAACTTTCATCCTTGTTAAGTGTCAATCGGCACATCACATTCCAAACACATATGAATGTTTATTAAATTTAGCTTGAGATGGCACAATGCAATTTATAAAAAAAAAAAAAACTTAAAGACAATTTTTTTGTCTGACAGAACGTTTTAATCCTTTAGGACTCTCCCTAAAAATCGGACTGGACAAGGCAACAGTTTCCCAGAGAGACCCAGGTATAGTTTTAAACACACCTATGATGCCCCAAACTGCTGTTTGACGGATGGCTGAATAGAGGAACGTATGAAAGGGTGGATGGAGTTCTCACCGAATCTGCTGTGGTCCTGTCTGGTTCCGTGTACCGTCCCGTTGGGGAATATCTCCAGCTGGAAGCCGGTGCGGCAGTAGAGCTGTCTCCTGCGCAGGATGCCCTTCAGGTGGCCAAAATCCGTCAGCGATCCACGCTGCAGTCTGCCCTCAATCAGACCCAACCTCTCATTCAAACCATCCGACAGAGGCACGTTCCCCAATGCTGGAAAAGCCTGCAAATCCAGATCGATGCTCCCGAGAAATCCAGCCACCTCTGCCATGACGAGGAAACTTTTGGATGTTTAGAGAGCGGAGAGGAGAGAGACGTTCTTTTCATCTGTGATCAGACTGAACGAGTCATTTATATAGACATCCATATCCTCCCCGAGCCACGCCTGGATGACATCCCTGCTGCTTCACCTTCAGTATGTCAACGGAGAGCTTCTGCTGAGACTTTCACAACTGATGCTGGGTGTCTGTCGGAGCGCACGCGTGTCTGAAGTCTGTCCGGTCGTGCGCGTAAAGTAGCTCTCAGCCCGCAGAAAGTCCTGAAGAGAGGATCAGTGACAAAATATCAAACCCTCTCAGCGCGAGAAGTTCTGACACCGTCTGTGTGTGTGTGTGTGTGTGTGTGTGTGTGTGTGTGTGTGTGTGTGTGTGTGTGTGCTTTATGGGTCTAATCGCAGCACGAGCTGCGTGACTGGAGTCTGACAGAGGATCAGTCTGAGTCTGAGAGTCACTAGAGGAGTTCAGGCTGCGTCTCAAACTCTCATCTGCTGCCTCTCTAGATTGCATTTCTGGCCGTTCCGCAGTTCTGGGCATCACAGGCACTTGCAGCAACTTGTTGCTAGTGAAGTGCGTACCTAGACATTATTTTGGGTATCACGGGTACGTGCAGCAACCTGTAGCCTAACAGTGAGCTGCCTACCTAAGTGTCTGCAACATTTGTGAAAATGACAGGTGGTTCCAACAGATTGGGGCATCATAACATTTAAAACCTAGTGAACTGCCTACCTAGACAACATAATTGAATATTATGAGTATGTATAACATTTCTTAAACCCTAACCCAGCATTTAAAAAAAAACAGTTAGTATGATAAGAATAAATATCTTATTCAAACACCTTGTTTTTTTACCGAGGCCCAAGCTGAGCAAAAGTACGCAATTTGGTGCAGTTACTGATATTTATATGGCCATTAATAATAATAATAATATTAAATGCTGATCGTAATGTAAATCAATGAGACATTATACAGTATTATACGACACTTCTTAAATAAAATGCATAATATATATATATATATATATATATATATATATATATTAATACATACATTTCATTTATTAGATTTGATACAACATGATTTAAAAATATATGTATGCATAATAAAGTCAAGTCACCTTTATTTATATAGCGCTTTTTACAATACAGATTGTTTCAAAGCAGCTTTACAGAGATAAGAGGAAAATAATATTGTATGTAATAAAGTAAACCTTGATTTTTTTTTAGTATCATAAGGCCATTACCATAATATTTATGGGAATTAAAGAATTTTCTGAAAGCTGTATCAACTGCCTACCTAAATATCATTTTGGCATCACATTTGTGTGTATAATTTTTGGACCTAGATGCATATACTGAGTCCGCAAAATTTTGAGGGGGTCATGCAAAAAATGCTGCACATGTCTGTGATTCCTTATGAGTAAACTCGCTAAATTTTGAAGTTTCTGCATGCAACTGATGCCAAAAAAAGGCTGTCTAGGTAGACAGCACTGACATTGACACAGCCTCAGACTGAGGTTTTCATAGATTTCATTTCTCCACCTTCCCTGTGTAAGCAGGTGTTTCCTCCTCCTCCGCTCCAGACCAGCTGGTGGATATCTACTGCAGAAATGAAAGGAGCAAAGAAATAGAAAAGTTTGATGACGTATTTTATTAAAGCTGAGCGGTACAGGGAATGCATGGCAGGCGGAATTTCATAAAATGTGAAATGTATGCGTCACATGAAATAGCAATGAGAAGTACACCAGATGACCACAAACTTCATATAGGAAATGATGATGCGTGCTGAGTGCTGAGAGCAAATGTGCACCTCACAAATCTATAAAACATATCTCTGATGTGTCCAACACACTCATAAAGATAGGGCTTGTCAAATATGTGCTCTCCGTTTCATGTCTGAATATAGTTGAAGGTCAGTGTTGATCCTATATGTAAGCTTGGTGTTTCCTTCACAATAGGTACAACATAAGGACTATTGATGGCTATGTCTTTTATTTTATTAATTTACAGTGTACTTGCTACTACAGTTTTGAAGCATTGTTATATCTGAGGAATTCCCACTTTTTAATATATACAGGAAACCTCTCCCATCCTTATTTTTTAAGATAGTCAGACACTTTGGTAAGCAATAGCCACTTGCTATGTCATGATCTTCAAAAAGACACTGAATCTAAAGGTGAAAAGATGTGTTGTTGTTGTTGTGAGAAATGTAAAATTAGTTTCTTGCATGTATTGTTAACCTCCGCTTAGTTGAAATACCTTACAGATATTTATTTATATGAAACAAAAGGGGAAAAGGCATTGTGTTGTCTAACACAAAAATACAATTTTAAAGAGGTCATGTTTTGCTTTTTCACTTTTTCAACTTTAGTTAGTGTGTAATGTTATTGTTTGAGCATAAAAAAGATCTGCAAGGTTACAACGCTCAAAGTCCACTCCAAAGGGAGATATTTTATTCAACAGAATACACTTTTCAAGAACTACATCAAAAGGCTCGTTTGGACTACAACGCACTTTTTCCGGATCTTATGAATCATAATGTTCCTTATTTAAATAATCTCTGCCTACGGAATGCGCAAAAATGTTGGCGAGACCTGGTTGAGCTGCGCTAGAGAAGATGAAGAGTGTTGTCACTGGGTTTTTTTTGTGATCGATTACTCTTTGTATTACCATAGTTTTCCGACAAATATGAATAAATGGTGGATAACTTTGTATCTATAAGAAAATTAAAAAAAAAAAACATAATCTGAAATGTCCTGTGAAATCTGTGCTTGCACAGATCTCCGTTCAGCACAATCCTCTTATTCGTTAACATTGTCAGGGTCTGAATCAGGCTCGAAATGGTTTGAAATTGACGCCATCGTTAATATTTACACCTGAGTAGAGATCGCAGTTATGAAGGGGCGGGACATTTCCTGAACACATGCTACGCACTGCCAATCACAACACACTGGGCCAGCTAGCCAATCACAGCACATTTTGTATTTCGAAAGAAGGGGCTTCATCGAAAACGATGCGTTCAACCAGACTAAGGAGAGACGAGCTGTAATAATGTAAAATATGTGAAAAATAATGTTTTTTTTTTAAAACAATCAAGCATGAAAAAATATTCTAGTACCCAAAAACAAAATCAAGACTTCAGAAAAGGGCATAATAGGATCCCTTTAAAGTTAACCTAGCCCAGCAAAACATTTACTGATACAGGGTTGCAATCTTTGTAATATAGATATGGAAACACATACAGTATAAGTAACACTTAAACATTATTTGAATGAAGCACATATTCCTTATTCATTTCTCACTGATTTACACTCAATTTCCACCTGAATCAAAATGTTCTTTTCAACAAATCTTAGGTATCCTGTCGAAAACATAATGGAGAATGCATTAGCTCATCAGAAGTCAGTTCTCAGAAGTGGTGCCAGTCTCACATACAGTAAAAAAACCCCGCTAGTAGTGACTGAACCCTGTAAGAGAGATCTCAGTTCATCTTCAGTCTGGAGGGAGTGATAACTGAAGGTGGTCTATGGGTTTTCACTTGCACACCTCATCCAGTGTTTGGCACAGGAACCATTTGCGAGAACTCAGCAGGTTGCATTCTTGGTGTTAGCTGTAAAATTTAGATCTAGTGAAAATTTAGATGAGATTTTTTCCCCCTTTCCTTTAAAAAAAAAAAAAAAAAAATCTATAACGACATCTGTTGCTGGTCAGCTATATTTTATAGTTGACATTGGTTGATTTATGAGTGAGTGTAGAAAATGTTCCCACATGCTCCGGGGACATATAGTGAAGATAACGACCTCAAGATCGTGGCTCATGCACCAGCGCCTCGCTCGCTCTCCACAGAGAATAAAACCTTGCAAGTTAATCAAATTTGGGCCTTGAATTGGGGGCAGCATCTTACCTGTTCGTTTGGGATTTCACGTTTCAGATATTTTCAATTCAGCAGTTCTCGCTCTCACGGGTTGCACCGCAACGCTCTTGTGAATAGTACACCAGATGTTATTAAACTTTTATTTGTTCGGCATGTTAGATATAAACAAAGTCCGTTTCAGGCAAGTCATTTCACTCGGCGGCCATCTTTGAAACACTTCTCGGGCAGCTATTTCAGTCACAGCTCCTCTCTCTTTGAATGGGGAAACATCAAATACTTCAAAGCGGTTCAATTTCATATTTGAAATCACAAATTAAATCTGACAACAACTGTCAGTTACACTTTATTTGAAGGTGTCCGTGTTAAGTAATAATAATAAACTACATATACTTACTACAGGGTAAGGGTTAGGAATAGGGGTTGGTTTAGGGTTAGTCGCATGGGTCCCACTTTATATTAAGTGGCTTTAAGTACAATGTACTTATTGTGTAGATGTTGTGTTGTAAAACACTTGTGCTGCTATTGAGGTGTGACACGGGTAAGGTTATGGACAGGTGAGGTTTAAGGCTGGGTTAAGGTGTAAGGGGAAGAACAGTGTAATTACAAATGCAATTGCATACATTAAGTACAGCTGTAATTACATGCTGGTATTTACAAAATATAAGTACAATGTAAAAACATGTATGTACACAATAAGTCCGTTGTATCAAATTATTAATTTCAATGTAAGTACATAGTATTTAAAGCTACTTAATATAAAGTGGGACCCACTGACTGCTTCTATAGCAAATGGTGCTTCTAATGACAGCTGCAGAGACGCAATGACTTTATACATCACCGATTGGCTCTTTTATTCAGAAGGCGGGACGTATTACACTTTTCCCGATTCATAGGTAATAAGAATGCACTTCTTTGTATATCTAAAGTTATTAATATAAATCAGTTGCTTGTCTCTGCAGGAATGTCAGAACTAATTCGACACCTTTTAGAAGTGGCCAAGATTTTATCAGCATTCAGGGCTTTAAACTGGAATGGTCCCGAACACCTTTGTTTAAAAAAATATACTATAACTAAGGGTTTTCAACATACATAATGATAGGGTTTAGTCTTGGTCAGGGTCTGGACCTTCAGGGGACTAGTCTGATTTTGTTTTTTAGGAGGTCTGTTAATGGTCAAGGTCTTGGTCTGGATTTGGGTTTCAAGGGGTTGGTCTGGGATGTAGTGGCTCTGATGTTGGTCTGGTTTTGTCTTTTGGAGGGTCCGCTCTTGACACCAACTCTGGGCTGGTGACGCCATATCGGACTCTTCGCATAGCGTTTAAATCAGACAAAGCGAGAGCACCTCTGTTCCCGCGTATGATATCATCTGTTCTTATTTTACTCTTGTGTCCAGCGCAGTGCAGAAAAATGATCCGTGCAATGAGCTGTTTGCAGAGCTGGATTCTGTG